ATTATTTTATTATATATAGGTAACCATAAGTTGCTCAAGTTTTTCTAGATCATCTAATTTATTTACGCAACCCAAATTTCAAACCTTATTTAATTATTATTTTATTATGATTATTATTGCATTCTTGTAATTCAAATGTTATGTAACCGTGTATTTTAAATGTTACCCAATAGCCACAGATGCTGCAGGTATATTACAATATTGAAAAAAAAAATGTGTTTGTAAATGTATTATAATATGATTAATATGAGTTTTGTCATTCACCTCCGCTTAAAATTTTCTTCTCAGTCCCCTATATAATTTACACTGGTCAATCTTTTTTTTTTACTCCCTTACCTTTTGTACGTTTATATTCTTTGTTTTTAAAGTAGCATAGTCTTTAAAAAAAATGTCTATTAAGTATTACATATTTCAGCGTATGACTAAATTATAGTTAACAAATAATGTATTATGTTTGTGGTCACATTAAATGTGTATACGCAGAACACGTGAAATGATGTAACTACATATAGTAACTAATAATTACTTTATCATGTGTCTCACAATACTGTGCATCACAACACATTATATCACTATCATTCTACAGGCCGAATAAAATTATATGAATATATAACCTACAAAAATGTTGAATAACTTTTCTTTTTGAAATTTTTTAATTGTGTAGGTTATTAAAACAAATTTGCGTTGAATTATTTTCTATGAAATTAATGTACCATTTTAAAATACTTTTTTTTTTTTAAATCAAATTGGTCCTTCTTTTCACTAATATTTATTCAATTCTAAAATGTTTTTATTCTAGTGTAATTATTATTATGACGTGTTTATTTATTTCTCATTAAAATATGGAAGGAAAATTATTGATTTAGTTTTTTCTTTGTGCGTTCTATGAACCGCTATAGTTTATAATTACACTACACCGCTACAATTATATTGGGCCCTAAGTTGGCGGATACTGACAGGAGATACCAATATATTTTTAGGTTTAAGTTCCGGCACAATCTTAAAAGGAGTGCTGTGTTAGTATTTAATTATGCTTAAAAGTCCATTGAAGTGTAAAATTAAATTTTATCGACGACAACCATTATATATGCATTTCTCTATCAGTGATTATTTTTTAAATTAATTTCTTTATCATTTGATGGCTTACAAAAAAGTTATCCATAATAATGAATTTTAAAAATATATTCGTTAAGACGTCATAATTGTGACCTATTGTGTTACGATTAAACATAATAATTTACAAATTTAATATATGTATATGCAATCAAATATTTGATAATCATCTGGCCAAAATGTAGTTTTAGTATGTACTTCTTTTTCGAATCAATATTACAAATGTATCGTTCTTCAGAATTGTTTTAGGGAAAATTTTTACCACGAGACATACTTTAGACTAGTCTTATGGTTGGGATACAACGCGTTATGTAATATATATTTTTTTTTAACAAACAAAAACCTACAAATACAACACATTATTCCAAAGGCACTGTATAAGTACTAAGAAGAGAACTAACATAATTTATAGCGTAGGCGAGTTTTTAGAGTCGTCGAATGGAATACCTATAATATAGTAGTAATTGAATTCCGTCGCGCTTCTTGTTGGTCACAAGACACCGCGTGTTCAGAGCTGTCATGCAAAAACAATACATGTGTTAAGACTTAAGTTTACTAATTTATTAACAACTGTAATGTACGGGAGCGCGGCTAATTCTCAAAACAAAAACTCATATCCTCGCGGTTGCCGATTTGATTTGAACGGACGGCTAATTTGAGATGACACGTTAAAATAAATAGCGCTCGAGTATGCTATAACTTAATTTCCAGTTTACCCGTCACCGACGACTACCGTCAACCCGAGTATACGCATCTGAATGTACTGAAGTGAAGTATTCATTTGTTTTGTAACCTCTTCTGGTCAACGCGCGCGAACAGCTAACAGCGAAATAACTTTTTAGAGAAAACACTCAAGAACAATATATGAAGTGCCCATTTTGAATTGGTTCCGACCATGTGTTATTCCTTAGTAAAACTATGATCAGTGTCTGCGTACAATAACTGTTGATAAATAACGATGAGGACGTATGACATTCGTCCTACGACATAGTAATAGTAAATAAGTAAATATAATAGCTACCAGAGATTGTATAGTGATCTCGACAAGGACGTCACTAGATCAACATTTTAAACGGAGTACGCATAGTAAAAAAACAGTATTTAGACTGCGTTTTCGAAAAAGTTACAAATAAGGGTAGTTCTTCTTACAATTTGTTTAACTGTAATAATGTTTTTTTTTATTAATACACTGTGAAGAGGGCTTCAGATCCCTTCCCTCCCTTCCAAAAATTTGATAATTTTTGTATAGTGAATCTTCAGTGGTCTCTATGTTCAGTAAAGAAGTGTATATTATAACTATTATTATTATTCTATAATTGTTTTTTCGGTGGTTTTTGTAAAATCTTGACGCTCGGGATATTAAATAGTAAGAAAATTAAAGAAAATTATATGGAAAAAAAATTGAATTGTTTTAATAAATTTGGCTCTAACGAATAATAAAGGAAAGTTGTTGTATTCTTTCGATTGATGAAATACAATTTGTTCTGGTATCAATAGCTGAGGAGTAATCACTGAAATTTAGACATTCTAATATAAAGGTTGGGTTATTAAAAAAAATTGTTAAATTGTAGATTTTTTTAATTTTCTAAGAATGTTGGTTAAAAATCTCATAAGAATAATCTAAACAAGTTTTACACTTGAATCATTAAGATTATACCTTTATTTAAGTTTAAGAATTTAGATTTATAAAAGTTATGGGGAGGGGTGACTTTTAACTTTAACTTATCCTATAAGAAGACGGAAATGCAGGTGATAAGTCCGGGCAGTAATAATACGTCAATTGTAAGACAGCAAAACATTCTTTAAACTTAACTCGAGATCTTTTTGACAGCATCGCTGCATAGGACATTTTTGGTCGATTATGCAAATAAATGTTACTAATGACCGTTTTCACCGACTATACTTAAAATTTAAGGGTAGTTCAACAATACTGAAACTATAAGTTAAACTATACTTAAGTTTTAAGCATGGTTGTTGTAAACGGCCATTAGATTATTTATAAAATATTCAGAGTTCAAAAACTAAGAAGTGGTACGCACTCACTACAGGATTTTATGTATTCTTATAACTCGAAGGATGTACAGACTTCTTCGTATTTAAACAAGTTATTTTTTTTAGTTAGTTCGTATTTACTCATATTTATAAATTATAATTTAAATGTGATTTATTTTTTTGTATAACAGAAGAAAAAAGAGTACCCGCCGAGAAGTTATTATGAATTATAATGCAAATAAGCAACCCATTTAAAATAGTAATTATCGTGCTTATAGTTTAACTTTTAAGCAGTTTGTCATTTTCCTTAATAATATTCTAACCATCGCAGTTAAAGAGTAAACAAAAAATCTGTCCACATTCTTTTCAAAATTTTTAACCTGTCACTATTTAACCTCTGACCTATAGAATTTATCTGCTAACCAAAAATATTGCAAAACAGATATTTTAAAAGTTAAAAATTATATTGTACATTTGAGTTTCAAAAGCTGAGAACTGTAAGAAATAAGTATAAAAAATGAAAATACTATGAAGTTTAAAATATTTACAAATAACGTTAACCTATAACATGTTCTCAAAAAGAAAAACTACAGTACTGCAATATAATGATATTACATTCATTTATTATAAATTTATGTTAATTTACAACGAATAATACTAGGCATTACAAAATTATTTTAGTTTCAACACAAATAATTAATATTTACTTGACGAGGGCATATTTTATTGATAAATTGAACTTATACTTACTTATATATATCCTGGTCTCACAAATAATATGAGGGAAGAAAACAACTTTTTTTTCTCTAGACACTTTATTATAGAATTATTTTGCAAATTGAAAATTATACAAATTTTCATATAGAACATAACAAAACATGTAAAAAGTACTTACCTCCTAAAATATATTAGTTATTAGCACATTGAACTACAATAAGTACTTGTAATAATATGGTAATGGTTTAGCGTGGGCTGTGGGTAAGCTATCGTTAACGGTTAACGAGTTATTAAATTAGCGAAAATCGAGTTGAGAAACCGAACAAAAACAAAATTCAAGCGTTTGTTAATTTAAAACAACTACCTAATGTATATATTAAGTGTAATGTACAATTGAAATGATCGTTGTTATGTAATTGGGTATAACAGTACCTACAATAACTACGTAGCTTACTTAAAATGATTAGCTAATAAAAAAAACTGATCATCCTAAAATTATTACCTTCTCAACTTCGCATCGAAACTAAAATATAATTAATTAATTAAAGGCAACGGTTTAAACTGAATTACAATTATTTATCACAAGTAATAGAGGTAAATCATAATATGTAAGAATTTAAGACACAAAAAATAGTACATAGATAGTACTGGCATTGTTGTCAGAGAACTACACTATATTTCCTGTACAAGTATAACATACATCTATTTGTGAACAGAAAGTGAATGTTACTTGTCATTACTTGAGTGATTTGACACTTTATTTTTTGATGTGCTTCGAGTTTATTTCATATACAAATGAAAATTAATTTATCTACTTAATTGCATTTTTTGCATTTTTAAATATTTACCAATTTTACGTTTTGTTTAGCAAACACGTGAATACATTAGTAAACATAGTTAATAAACAATAATCAGTTTATCAGTGATAACTTCAATATTGATCAGTTACCATAATGTAATACATCAGCAGTGGCGTATTTACGGGGGTAGGGGAGGAGGTACAGACTACAGGGGTCTAGGGACCCATCAGACCATCAACAAATTAACACAAAAATGTATTTGATAATAGTTTTATTGTTGTTTTTTTTGTAATTAGGTATACGATTTCCAATCATTTTAGACATCCGGTTTTGTTTTTGAAAGACATATTACTAATACTTACATACTATAATGCCCACCTACCTATTTAATAGTTATGAATACCCCGATTAAGATTAGATTAAATTATTTATTCGCAACAAAAAAAAAACATGCAAAATAAAATTGACTTAGAAATTAACAAAATCCAATTCTCGATTTAGAAATACGGTGATCGTAAGTGTACTAGTAGTCGAGTTCCACGAAGCCTTTGACATTTGCTTGTCAACTCCATGCGGAAACGGTACGTGTAACCTGTACTTAGGACTGCGCACGTCTACCGAGTCCTCTTTTACATCTGTACAAATATCAGATAATTGTTCACCCGGTAGCTTAATATCAATGACCATCGCTTCACAACTCGAAGTTAATGGAGTCTTAGGACCCATCTAAAAAATAATTTCCTATCATTTGCAAACGCTTTGTAGCCTGTAGGTAACTAGTATACTGTATAGGTAAGCTCAAGATTTTGTTTACAATGCCTACTTGTTGTATGAATACAGTTAAGAGCTCATAATATTAAAAGTTAATCAACCCACCCCGAAAATTGTGTCTTCGGTTCCGACGTACTGCTTATATTTGACCTCGTATTCCGGTCTAGACCTGGTATCAGCCTTAACGTCCAGAGCTTCGGGAACAGCAACGATATCTTCTTCATGCCATATTTCTTTAGCTATCTCTTCTTCGGTTTGTAGCTCAACTATTTTTTCCGATTTATTTACTTGATCGTTTTTCATACTTTCTTTAGTTACTATTTTCACGTCTTTACCGCTTTTAGATTTGCCTATTAATAATTACAACACATAGGTATTATTACAGTTTTAGACTAATAAATTCTATAGACAGTCAGTGCTTTATTCAAATATCCTAAGCACGTACCACGGTTATCTACAGCTGTACCATGAAAAATAAATTGTTTTTCTATAAAATAGTATTTTTATGCAAAGATATATTAGAATACCCATATTTTTCAAAGATAATTTGTTCGATTTCCCCAAGGTCTCATTTTCCATTGTACCTATGTTGAAAATATCTAACTATATTATGTATGTTTTTTGCAGGTATAAAATATTATTCATATATTATAGTATGAATTTATATATTGTATGTACATCTCTAATTTATAGCTTTAGTTTAAATTTATTTATTTCATTATATACAGGGTGTAATGTAAAGTTCTACCGAGCTTCAAATAAGACATTCAGGATGCTCAATAAATGGTATTCATTTTTTTTTTTTTTTAAAATTATTTAAAATAGAACTCGTATCTCATTAAAAAATTGTCTTACGAAAAAAATAATTTCAGATTTGAAATCGGGAGAAAAAATCTTGTTGAATTGATATGTAACATGATTTTTTGGTATCTATTTATTTTTTTCGTAAAACAATTTTCTTAATGAGATACGAGTTCTATTTTAAATAATTTTAAAATTTAAAAAAATGAATACCATTTATTGTACTCATAGAGCATCCTGAATGTCTCATTTGAAGCTCGGTAGAACTTTACATTACAACTGTATATTATATGTATAAGAATGTACGTATTGGCACGCAATAACTTTTTGAATAAAAGTTGAATTACTTCCAACTCTACTTATATATTTTACTGTAAACCTAGGTAAACATTTTTCTTTTATTAAAAAAAAATGGTGATAGGCATCTTAGTTAAGTTTTAACACGAACCTATCGTAAGTGTTTGTATAAACAATTAATCAATTAATTAATACCGTTTAAATTATTCAATATAAATATATGTAATCAATTACAAATTTATTTATGATAGGTGAATTTATATTACCTTTATATTGTAACGTACCTACTGTCTGGTTAAGTGCAGTGGTCGTCGATAAGGAACGGTTAGATAATGTAACCATTACAATATATACGATGTATTGTAATCAAACTCTAGATTCACTTAACAATACTCATTAGTCATAACTATAAAGTACCTATCATTAATATAGATACTTTTTATTTTTTTATTTATTATATTTTAATTGTTTCAACATAATCTTGTTTTTACATATATAATATAGATACTTAAAAATGTAGTGTATACTAGATATTCACTATATAAATCCTTAGTCTATTTAAAATTGCATAATTAGTATAAATAAGTTTTTTTTACGTTATACTTTCTCTTACAAGAATTAAAAGTATTAGTAATTAAATCTAACAATAATCATTTTTTTTTAAAGTACTAAATACACTAAATAATATTTTGGGGTAATAATGTACATTTTTGATCAACACACACAATAATAAATAACGAATGAATATGAATGATTTTTATAAATATAAAAAACTTTCAAAGCAGAATAATACAATAGTTCAACAATATCAAGTCTCCATTTTTAAGTGCGCTATAACACATTATTTGATTGTCAAGTTCAGTAAAAGTAATAGAAAAATTAAATTTATCGTCACACCTATCAACAAAATTTGTATAAAATCACTACTCAAACTTTTAGAGTCCATTAGATATATTAACTTGTGTAATTTGTGAAATTAATTAGCCGCCTATTTACTTACATAGTTGAATTAATGATGTTCTAGGAAGATCATCCTCGCTATCAGAAGAATCCACTTTTGGATTAAGTATTTCACTCAACTTTTTCATATCCATAAAATCCATATTTTTTTTAACTGTACAAACAATGTACTTTTAAGTTTAATAGTATAGTTATAGACTAAACATTAAAGATTATTTTACACACATTGCTTATGATCGTCGTTGCTATGGTTTTTAACAAACACTTAAATACTACCATAGCAACCATTATTCAATCACCTTTTAATGCAAGTTATTTGAAAAGGGCATAAAAAAAACACATTTTTTTTTTTGTTTTTATACTTTATTTGTAAAATTAAATACAAACACGATAATAAACAGATTAATCATCGCCCTTCTTTGTGACCACTTTACCTCCACGAATCCTACCAGTTCTCCTGGCAGCAATAAGACCGACCTGTAATTTGAAAACAAAATGAAATTAGCTGTTCTGAAAAAAAGCATTTTTAAAACACTTACCTTTCTTCCGGCACTGGTTCCTCTCTTGACTGTGGACGCTTTACCAATATGTTGATGGTTACCACCACCGTGGGGATGCTCAACGGGGTTCATAGCAACACCACGAACCTTAGGCCAGCAATTACGTTTAGCCTTGTATTTGTGGTATGCACGACCAGCCTTCAACATGGGCTTATCGATACGACCACCACCAGAAACCAAACCTAAAATAAGTTTAATTATAAAACTCTGGTTGAATATAGAATAAACATTAAAAAATAGATAGTCTCAGTGGTGTAGTCTTAACTTAAGGATACTCTTAACAAAAATCTCTGCTAGTTGGTAACACAATATTTGTTATACAATAGAAAATTGTATCCCTTTAGACTACACTACTAGATATTTTACATACAATATGACATCTTATGATAATGTAAATTACAATTAATAAATAGATAGAATCTCAGACTTATACAATTGACTTCAATTAACATTCAGGTTTCAAATGTCTATTTTAAACATCATAAATTCATATCAGTATACTGATAACTAAAATAGAATATATCATTCAATTTAACATAATTACAAAAAAAAAATCAGTATTTGAACATTTTTGATAGACAGTCTCAAGAATTAATAAAAGTATGTTTGTTTTAAATTTTTTAATAAATAAATTCTCATAACTTAATATTTTCTAAATAAAAATGATTTTAAATAATGTTTAAATGCATTTAAAATTACTTTAATTTAAAAAATGTCAAAGGCTGATGATGAGATTAATTTTGGCTCAGCTTTACATTTATATAAATGTATAATATTTTGAAAATATTATAGAATTTTAAGAAAAAACTAATTAAAACAACAATTAAGCATTCAAACAAATAATGTATAAAAAATGAATCATAAATAAATTGTTTAGTTGAATAACAAATAATATGAAACAAATTAACATAACAAATTATTTTGTTATAAATAATAAAAAATAATTAAATAAATATAATTTTTTATGTATCGCTTCATCTGAATAAAAAATGATTTAAATAATTCCTAACTGATATTGCAGAAGTGAACAATAATTTTTTCTTTTTATTCAATCACAATAGTTGTTTATTATACAGCAATTTTCATACAAAATAAATATATTTATTTCAGTTATACCTAAAAATGTGTGTAACAGTTATCATTATTTTTGACTCCTTAATAAATTTCAAAATAAAATAATTTAGTATTCTCAGAATACATTTGACTTCATTATAAAGTTCAGGTTTCAAATGTCATAAAACATCATAGAATTAAGTGAATAAAATTAATTAAAACTACTGTTCCTAAATATAAAACTATAAAACCTTATTTATCAAGGAAAATATTCCATAAAACATCCAAAATTATTATACTTACCAACCATAGCACGGTTATTGGATGGAATTACTTTTTTTGCACCAGATGGTAACTTTACTCTAGTTCGCTTAGAGTCTGGATTGTGAGCTACTACGGTGGCGTAATTTCCAGAGGCACGAGCCAAACGGCCACGATCGCCAGTCTTTTCTTCTAAATTACAGACAATTGTACCTTCAGGCATTACTCCAACTGGCAGAACATTACCGATGTTTAATTTGGCTAAAATAAAGATAAAAAAGAAATAATATATTAAATAAATATTAATACAAGAGTATGGCTAATTGAAAATGTTACCTTTCTTTCCACAATACAGAAATTGACCTGTGTATACACCTTCGGGCGCAATAAACAATTCTTTCCTGGTCTTATATTTGTACGGGTCTCTAAAGTGGACAACTGCTAACGGAGCTCCACGACCTGGATCGTGAATGATGTCCTAAACACAATTATAAAACATTACTCATTTTTTACTGGCTACAAATAATAAATAACCAGAAAATTGTTTCTTTTAAGGCTGAACTGTGCATGTTAATATGTTAGGATGCTGACTTATATTATTTTATAATACTGATCGGTGAATTTATTCTAGTTTAAATATTGTTAAGTTTGCATACATTTAAAGCCAGAACATAAATCTGAATGAAACAATGCATCCTTGAGCACAGCTTAAATATTACTGATGTAAGTTTTAGTATAAACAAATATTATCAATAACCAGTAACTAGAAAAATGCTTAATATTTACCTTAACAACACCTTTAATGTATCCGTATTTCTCGGCATAATCGTAACTCCTGAGTTTTGGAGCTCCTTTCCTGTGTTTAACATGGGAACGGAAAACACTTCCCGCACCTTTTCTCTGAGCACGAATTACCCTACCCATTATTTAAAACCTGCAACAAAAATGTATTAATTTACTTCACCTGTTGTTGGAACGTCACAAACACATATACACAAACGTCAGACAAAATTCAGTGTTGAATTGACATTAAGTTTAAGTTTAAATTTAACACATATTACAAAAAAAGAACCCCCAAACGTATTGAATCTATAATGTAGCTGCAATCGAATTAGAATTTTCAAAAGTACGTATTAACAATTTTACATACCGGAGTCGAAAACCGGTGATTTGGTAAAAATGTTATTGAAATTGGAACACTTTAACGAAAAATAAACGCCAAGTCAACAGAACAAATCAATAGTTGACTTACCTTCAGGATTACTAGGATAATTAAAGATTAAATTGAATACTTACGTTTAAACAACGTATCCTCGAGAAATTGGTCACATAGGAAAGACGGGACACCCGTGAAATCAAAACACATTGCCTCTACAACTCGATAGTCAGTGCAAACGCACACGAGTATGAACGATAGCAATGCAGTGTGACCAACCATCGTGAATAATGGTAATTAATAATATTTTACGACAAATTTCCAAAAACTAATTGAAATCATAATTCTAAAATATACATATTTGCAAAAAATACTAGTTTTACACCAACAACAAAATTAAAAATTATAAAACATAGAAATAACAACTTAATTGTAACGGTTTTAACCACAGATCTGGTAGTGTTACATTCAAGGTTATCAGCTGTCCATCTCCCTTCAAACTAGTCGGCCATTATTGGCATTTGCCATTATATGTATATTCTTCTCATCAGTTTTTACATTCATTTATATTTTCACTCGCAAGTGCAGCAACGTATTCATCGTCACCGATTTGTAATAATATGAGTAATGTACCCAAACAAAATGGATCAGGTCTAGAGCAGCAGGTAAGAATTGCCCAACGCCGCAAAGTTGTCCAATACATAACCTACTAGAATGTGCGAAATTTCATTGTCTAGGTTAATGTATAGTATAAGGATAACGTCCTTTGTCTGGACGCGGAGCCGCTATAACATCAAGTGTAATTGAAACAAATTTAAGCCTTTTTTTTCTTTTTTGTTTGTGTGATTTAGTTTGCTGGTCTGGACTTGCAGGGCAATTCGAAGCCCGGCTCGGCCCCAAGCAAGTACGTTCCACCACATCTTAGGAATCAACCGAACAATTCACAAGAACAAGAACAAGGTAAATTTGTTATTTGAACATTAATCCAAATATGACGATTTTAGGCATTAATCAATACCATTATTTAAGAGATAAATTTATCAATTAAGTTTTTAACATACATTACTTATTAATTTGGTATCGCCTAGTTTGTTAACTGAGATATTACAATAATTTTTTTTACATTTTTCGTTAAAAGATAATAATTAAAAATATCTATTTCAACTATCATAATATAATATTGAACCAGGATTAAAGAGATTGTATAATAATAACCATACCTGGTTTTTGTTTACGATTTATTCATTTATAAAAAAAAGGGTATTTTCAATTTTATAATTAACTCTTCACCACTCGCGCGGATTCTGATACCACTTTTACTCGCTCTGTATAAAAATTTACCCTATTATAATAAACCTGTTAAAATACAATATGTTTAATTAGGATAATACAAAAAATAATTTTTATTTAATTGAGAATATTATATTTATCATTATTACTAATAAATAATTGTTATTAGACATTTATTTAATGCAAAAACATATTGATATAGTTCTAACCCTCTGATTAGATGGTCTATGGTTCCACTGAGTGCCATCTTTCTCTTAAAAAAAATTGCTGGCCCTAACACAGACATAATTCGACTGTAAATGTATGGTAACTGTAATCCAACCTTACATCATTGTCATATTGCATATTATTAACCTGGGAGATAATAACACACGTGTCTCGCGCACTCGCCGTTCGTGTATAAAGAATTAGTGGAGTTAATGAACAATACAATAAAACAAAAATTTATCCCGGAAACAATTCTATAAATTAATTTATTTGTAGTTAGATATGAGGGTTATAAGAAGGTACTGAGAATGATTTAGATATGCTAGTATCTCGATAAAAATTGTACGTGCATGTGAAGTTTGACTGGAGTAAATTTTTACCCTGCGCGAGTGGTGACGGGTTAATCGTAAGTTACTTAAATAGTATTTAGATAATAATATAATTAAATAATTAATGTATATAATGAAAATAATATTTAAAAAAAATAAACAATGACTATTTATGTATGTTGTAAATTATTTTCCAAATGGAAGTTGATTGTTTATTATTACTATTGAAATTATGAACAAATCTGTTTTTAAAGAACAAGTTTAGCATTTGTTCTTTATTCTTCCAAAATTACAGTAAACGATGGTATCTGAGTGATTTTTCTGTTGTGAATATTCACCTCGTTCCCCATCTGACACTAACCATTTTTACAACGTAATATTATAAATAGTAAATTTATAATATTTATATTTAAAAAAAAAAACGAAATTATCATTTAAATTATTCTTTTTTTTAGGAAGAGATAACGAAAGGGACAATCGTGATTTTGACGAACCTCGTCAAACTTCAGGTTTCAATAATAGATCGTCAGATTTGTTTAGCCGAGGTTATACCTCTTTTGGCCACACAATGAAGACACTAATAATGTTCTTTGTATTTTAATGTCATAAAAATTTCAGGAAACGACCGCCGTGGTGGCCGTAGAGATGATTACGATGATCGTTCCTACAATGGATCCTCGAGTTCCAATTATGGTGGAGGACGAGGCGGAGGTAATTATAGAGGCAATTACCGCAATGATAGAGAGGGCGGCGATTGGTCGCGTTTCAACCAAGGCGGAGGAGGAGGAGGTGGTGGTGGTAGCAGATGGCAAGAAGGAAGACGGTACATATTATTATTTAGTAAATTTGTATAAAGCTTCTTTAATCGGAAACTTTGTTGTTAAATAAAATTGGTTTCTAAATTTTTATTTAAAAAATAATACATCTATAGATCTGAGAACCGAAGAGGCGGCGGTCGATGGGACGATTCCAACGCTGCTAACCAAGATTGGACTAAACCACTTCCACCAGATGAGCGTTTGGAGGAAGAATTGTTTGGAAACAGTAGCACAGGCATTAATTTCAATAAATATGAAGACATTCCAGTTGAGGCAACTGGTGAGGACGTACCTCCTCATATTGATACTGTAAGTTATAGTGAAATTAGTTGCATTAGACAAAATTCTGTAAGACATGGAGAATTGTGTATTAATAGTATTATTAATAATTATTATTTCAGTTTGACGACATTAAGCTGACAGATATTATTCGTATGAACATATCTTTGACTCGTTATGATACGCCAACTCCAGTACAAAAGTACGCTATACCAATTATTGTTGGACACCGTGATGTTATGGCATGTGCCCAAACAGGATCTGGCAAGACAGCTGCTTTCTTAGTCCCAATACTTAATCAGATTTACGAAAAAGGACCAGCTGCCTACAATGTTGGCCCTAAGGTAAATATTCAAATAATATTATTAAAAAATAGCTTATCATTATTAATATTAACATTTTATTTTACAGCCACAATCTAGAAGAAAATATCCTCTTGGTTTAATTTTAGCTCCCACCCGAGAATTAGCTACTCAAATTTATGACGAAGCAAAAAAATTTGCTTATCGATCTAGAGTGCGCCCTTGTGTTGTGTAAGACAACAAAAAATATAATTTAAGCCAATTTTTAAATTCTGATATATTACAGATATGGAGGTTCTCATGTAATGGACCAAATTCGTGATCTAGAACAGGGATGCCATTTATTAGTGGCAACGCCTGGTCGTTTAGTGGACATGTTAGAAAGAGGAAAAATTGGTCTAGATTTTTGTCGTTACCTTGTTTTGGATGAGGCCGATCGGATGTTGGATATGGGTTTTGAAACTCAAATTCGACGTATTGTCGAAAAGGATTCAATGCCTCCACCAGGCGACAGACAAACTCTCATGTTCTCAGCAACGTTCCCCAAAGAAATTCAAGTTCGTACCGTACCATAATCCAGCATGTTCAGCACCTCCCATTTTTCTATGTGTACATGGTGTACTCAAAACAAATGCAGTAAAATCATGTATTCACCTATTGAATACAGTTGTTGCCATATAAGTTAGCACAGTGGCAGCATTTATCAGCAAGTGTATCCCAAACTAGTCTCTTTCCTCGACTGTCAGTCAGCTAGGACGAGCATAGTTTGGCCGCAACGGTTCTATATTATTGTTGTTGTTATTATTGTTATTATTACTATTATTATAAATTTTATAAAAAATAAACTATCAACTATGCCTAGATAAGGCATAATAGAAAAAAAAAATCAACATTAAATACAGAGAACCCCTGGCTTTGCATTTTCGCGCCATCGCAACTGTGCCAAGTTATCTAGCAATGACTACATGATTTTCGTTATAAGTTCACATAGAAAAGTGTGAGTTGGGTACACACAACATTATATACTTACAGCTACACCACTGAATACATTTTTTTATTCATTTCATACAACCTTAATATAATTATGTTTTAACTCAGAAGTGTGCTTGTTTATTTTCAGATGTTGGCCAGAGACTTCCTTGACAACTATATTTTCTTAGCCATCGGTAGAGTAGGTTCAACATCTGAAAATATTACTCAAAAAATTGTTTGGGTTGAAGACCGTAACAAGAGGTCGTACTTATTAGATTTACTAAATGCTACTCCAATTAGATCAAGTTAGTAAACTTCTTTGTACTCGCATTCAACAACATTAATATCAATATTTTATTATTATTACTTTAGAACCTGCAGAATCCTTGATATTAGTGTTTGTGGAAACTAAGAAAGGTGCCGATTCATTGGAGGAATTCCTTTATTCCAATGGTTACCCAGTGACTTCCATTCACGGCGACCGAACGCAACGTGAACGTGAGGACGCTTTGAAAAGTTTCCGGTCTGGTAACACTCCTGTTTTAGTTGCCACGGCTGTCGCAGCCAGAGGATTGGACATACCACATGTGACACACGTCATAAATTATGATTTACCATCAGATGTCGAAGAGTATGTGCATCGTATTGGACGTACTGGGCGTATGGGAAATTTAGGTAAGTTTCCTGAAAAATAAGAATTTAGAATAACTTAATTCTTGAAGAAATAGGCTTATAAATACAGGGTCCTGCAAAAAAAAAAACCCCGTATTTAGAGATGGCACTGTGTAAGTTGTAGTACAATGGTGGAGGGGGTATCGATCAATAGCGGTATACATGCCATTTCAATTAAGAAGGCAATCACCCAGCCAGTGGCTGCCATTACACCGAAAATGGCACGAAGAGCTATGGCCTTTCCCGAAAGTTAAAAGTGAACGCCGCTAAGTGTGAGCTGTGGCTACATGCATGTACTAAAATGAAATTGTGTACCCTAAAGGCTAAAATAGAGTACACTTGATTATATAATACTAAAACATAAATATCATTTTTTTTTATTCAAGGTTTGGCGACATCATTCTTCAATGATAAAAACCGCAATTTAACTAGAGACCTTATGGAATTGATAACCGAATCAAAACAAGAATTGCCAGGTTGGTTAGAGAGTATGGCAAGTGACTTTAGAATGAGCAGTGGCAGAAGAAGTAATGGATCTAAAGGGTAAGTTAAAAAAAAATATTTATATATATTATAATCAACAGAAACTTGTTTGATCGTGTTGATTTATTAATTTTTTTTTATTTTACATTTTAGGGGTCGCTTTGGTGGCGCTGGATTTGGCTCACGAGATTACCGTACCACAAGTAGTATGCCCCCTTCACGAGGCGGTTCAGGCCCTCCTCGTAGAGATTACGGAGGAGGAGGAGGCAGTAGCAATGGTAACTCGGGCAACCCATATTTTCCAGGTCCATTGTCGGCGTTTAAAGCTAATTTATTTTTGCTTTTCGTTGATAAGAAACCTATTTATAGGCAACATTATCTAATCTCGTTTGTTTATTTTTTTTTTAACAGGAAGTGGATTTTATAGCGGCGGCAATTATGGAGGATCATACGGAGGAGGTGGTAACTCGTCAAACGGAAATTCCAAATCACCAGACTGGTGGTCACAGTCATAAATGTATGGTAAATAATTATAAGTTATCATTGAATTTTGATAATATACATATATATTTAAAGTTTAGAAGAAAAGTGAATTACATTTTTTTTATAAATTGATATGCCTTTTAAATTTAGGTTAAATTGATAGTCTAAATTCATTATGTGTATAAAATTAATGAGTTAAATTTAAACAAAGTATGTTTTAATTTTTTTATTTTTGATTCTAAGCTTTGTTTTTTTAGATTATAAATCATCTAATATTTATGTTGAGAGGTAGCTCTAATTCTTCGTTCAAAATGAATATTACAAAAAGTATATATTAAGCATTTACATGTCATTATTATTGTAATAATAATAAAAAAAAAGAAAGTATTGTTGCATAAAATAGATGACTATGAGCTGTAAATTCCTTTTAATTTATTTATAGCTAAAAAAAATAAGACAAAAAAAATAAAATCGATAATCATAATTCGTTTTTTTTTTTAATATTTATTATAATTATGTATTGTGTATGTATATTATTTACGTGATTTTTAAATTGTATAGACTAAGTAAATTCCATAACAATTGGAATTCCATTGTCATCAAAATGTATATTTTATACAGTTCTTTAATTCTTTGGACGATTATTTTATATTTACATCACTTTTCTAACTACATTAAGTGATAATATGGCACTTCTTAAATATTTATTTGGACTGTCACAACAATATCGTTCTAATGGTAAAATTAATCCATTAGTGTTTTCGTAAGCGTGCACAATTTTCATTATGAATATACGAAGTGATGTACTTGTAGAGTATGCCCTGTGTTTACTCACTTAACACTTTTCTATGTATATGTGGTGTACTCACAGCCATAATTGAGTTCTTACGGTTAGAGTCTTACCTTTTATGACTTCTTTAATTTAATAGAACACTAATAAAACATTGTAATGTCAATAACCTTCTCAGCTAAAAGCTAAGAATTACAAATTTTGAAAACAAAGAAAGAAATAAAAAAAACAATAATTTACGGTTGAATTAGCAAGCAAATATTTTTTTTATTACTGAATTATCAAACAATTATGTAGTATTAATAATCATAGCATAATTTTATACCTATAATAACATTTAACAATTAACAAAATTTCTTTAAATATTTCATACAAAATATAACATTATATTTGGAAAAAAATGTTACATTATCTTTATAAAAAAAAAACTGGTTCGAAAAATAATCACAATAAAAATCGATTTTTAATTTACATTATCATCGTGTACAATATTTGTGTTCTTGACAAAATTAATAATTATACACTTCAGTTGGTTAATTTACATACTTTTACTTGTTAATAACATTAACTAAAGTAGTGTATATATGTATAAAAATAGTTAAAAAACCTTAACATTAAAATATAGTAACAAAAATTAGGCCCACAAATTTTAACTTTTACAATGTCGTTTTTACAAATTATTTCTATTTATTAACACGGGATTGAAAAATATTTTAGGGAATAGTCTTTTTTATGATTGCCTATAAGTCGTGTAAAGATTTTTGAATTGTATTACAATATACTTTAAGTCTTCGACATGAACTCAAAAAAAAAAAAAATGTTTTTTGTTTTCTATAAGAGAATTTTTGAGTATTAATATTAGTTTATTTTCATACATGAACTGAGTATTAATGGGTTAACACATAAACATTTGTTAAGATTTTTATTCAATACTATCTAAAGTAAAAGCTTTTATTACACACACTGAGGACCTATAATATAAAATAACCTAATAGACTACTGAAGATAATATTATTTTGTTTAAGACTAGCACGTCTTATCATTTAATACTTGACGAATCGTTAAAAATAGTTATATTATAACCTAACCTAACTAGATGTTTAAATATTCAAAGAAAAAAACCTTAACTAGTTCTACAACTAAGAAGATTATGATTATCGGTGGTAAGTTTAATTTGTTCATAATTGACTACAGAATAATTATTGTCCGAGGCGATGACTAACCTATTTTTTGCTGCTTTCTTAATGTTTTCATTTTCGGTAAGTAAACTAAGTTGCATTGTCAAACTATTAAGTAAATGATTCTTATATAACAAATATGTATAATATTTTACGTAGATAGGTATCAATAATCAATATTATAATTATACTTAAACATGTATGTGTATATAAAACAATACACAAGTTGATGCCATTATTATTTTCAGTACTTAATAAGTTTAACATAAGGTCCAAGTTAAAAATTACAAAAAGAAGGATTGTAAAGTAAGAATTGATCCATTGAGGATAACATGAGTTGTACTTTTTAATTGTATAACACATTTTTATACTCGCTATAATTTCGTTTACCTGATTTAAAAAAAGCTCCAAAAATGTAGATAATATAGTAAAGGGAAAACTATTTTAAAAATGTTTTTTTTTCTGTTTTCACATAAATGGTTTTAATATTATTTATAAACAATAAATAACGTTTTAAAAATTAAATTTTGGCAACATTTTTTGCTAGTTGTATTCAAAATTGGGAAAGCAACTAAAAGACGTAATGTATCAATGATAACAAAAAATAAGTATCCCATTTTGTTTCTGTTAAGAAACATCACTACTAAATTTGTAAGACGCAGAATATTTTTAAAATCTACAAAGCTGTCTACTTTTTAATATAGCAGTAAAAATGGCAATAAAATATTTAAAGAAAACAGTAGGTAAGTTAGAGAATAGATGAGCTATCCAACAAATAAGATCCAAGGAGGCTGTTGCGACAAATAAGGATTGGAAAGAAAATTAGGTCCGCAGAACGTCAAAGTCAGTAATAAATAAATTATATGTTTGAATGTTTATTGAACAATTCAAAACATAATGTAGTTACCACACAAGTTGGATCGATCACTACCATATCTTTATCCAGTTTTCGCTTACCTCCGTTGATTCTTATTTATACACCATATTCAACCGTACTTACCACCTCTACATGCTTATTTTTTTGTCATCGGCTAAACAGCCAAACTACACCACTCTTAATTCTTGTTCTCGGTATCCTAGTTAACTAATTTTGATGGTGTGCATGATGCGTATAAACTACTCTTAGAAGTGCGCATAACAATAACCTAACTATTTTCTTCTGTACGACAATAATTATTATGGCTAGCAACTAAAGCACGGTCTCGTTGAATTTCACCTCCCTGTTGTTGGTATAATGGTGGCTACTGTGCCGTCGCGCTGAACCCGGTTGTTGAGCGTTCAACTGCATTCCAATGGCACTGTGTACCACGGGCATCATGACCGGGATGAGGGCCATCGACCGTTGTCCGTTCAACCGGTACAGCGGTATGTCTTCGGGCTGGACCGGTAACATTGGTTCTTGTTCTTCGTCCGTTCCTGACTGACCGTCCATGCTTATATACGGTGTGTTGGTAGCGATTTGAGTGGCAGCCACGACTGGGATCCAACATTTCCGTTTACCGTGAGTCGAACCTGCAAATAAAAATGTTCAAACTCAACATATTTAACACTACAATATTACAATCGAAACTGTAAAGGTACAATATGCATAAGTTTTAACAGGAATAACTTTTTTTTCAAGGATGGGATGATAGTACCAATTCAAATTGTGATTTTAATGATGTATTTTTTTTGGGGGGGGGGGGATCCACGATACCTTTTAAACCGCTGAACCGATTTTTTTATGTGGCAAGTTTTTATATGCAATTTGATATATGCTCACCGTCGCTGGTTTGGGAAAATATAGAAGTTTTGCGTTGTCTGTATCGTTTCCAAGCATCGGACCTGACGGTGCCTTTTGTGCCTGTGTTGACAGCGTCGAAACTAACACTTCTGTAAATCGCTTGCCGCCAATGGTCGTTACGGGCTGCGCGAGTCTGAGCGTCAAAACTTTTTGCTTGGCCGAGTTGCTCGTTCAAAGAATACATCTTGTGCGTTACATCTTTTCCTGAAAACAGGACCCACTTACAATGTTACAACTATACCATATAATTTATAAGTCGCCTAAGTTCTGAGCAGGGCCAAGGAGTGTAGGTATCTAATAGAACCGCATGTAAAATGTATGTAAATATATTACATTATTTTATCATCGTGAAGTGTACTTCTGTGGGTTGCCCTCAGTCAAGTTATTTACACATACGTTAGTAAAAAAATAAATAAAAGAACAGCCGATTTTTAAATTAAATTAAATCTAAACCTGTGTTGTCGAAGTTAACAAAAATTTATATATTTAAGGGTAAAGCGTACTTTATTAATTTTATCACATATCTAAAAAAAACCTATTGTACATAAATTGTTTTTCAATTAAAAATTATTTCACGAAATTTCTATCTATACAATGAATACTTTTACACTCTTGACGCATTTTGTATAATTGCTTTTCAGTTGTTTTAATTGCAGCTTTTTCGTTCGCTGTTTTAGTTGCCCGCGTGGAAGTCAAAACTATATAATTGTACTTTTTGTCTTGATAAGTTTTACATAATTTATAAATGAGACGTTTCAAAATGCGCACGGTTACAATTATTACATTATTTCGTACAAGTTTCAAGACGTATTATTTTACAAGAACTTAAACTTCATAATTATCACGAAACTGTTATATTCGGAAAGCAAAAAAAAGTTAAGTTAACCCAATCTATAACCGGCCTTGGACACTTAAATTGTTATTAATAGACGCTTATGAATAATAGTTTCTTAAATCATACAATGAAATAAATGTTTAAGCCTCTCTGCTCCTATTCTATATTATGATGTATTATGATGACTTTTACTAACAAGGTAAGAGTGAAATTACTAACAAAGTGAGATTATTTTATCACGAATAAACTAACAACGTAAATACTTTGGAGTTGTATTTACTGCAAAGTATTTATTTAAGACAGTTTAAATTACCTAGGATTGAGATTGGCCATTAAGTATTATTTATGTTTACATTCGTCATGTGCACCAATTTAATATAATTTGTTGTACCGGATTTACCTTTAATTTCATTACAACCCGGAGCGAATTTTTTTATTATTATATTTTTATCTTTCGGAGTCGCTTCTAATAAGTCAATTAAATTTCACTCGGTCGTTTTGCGTCAAGCGGTGGATCCAATCACGGGCGACAGCGAAATACTGTAAATGTTGATTAAAACTGGACGTGGGCGGTAAAATTAATGAAAATAACCTTTTTTTTCCTCGAAATGCCATTAGACCATGTAGTGGAAAATTCGCCATCAGCTGCGGTTATAATACATAAATGTACTGTATTATGTCCTTACCTATAATAGCGGCGAGGACGGCGTGTAGTTGTGTCCTGTGCCGAAGGATCCGGTTGAGCTTTGGAAGTTGCCAACACAGGTAAACGCAATCCTCGGCGGCCGTTATAGTGACCTGGTAGTTAATAAAAAAACCCATATTAAATGAGCCATATTCATTAGTGTTGTTGATGGTACTAACTTGGAATACAGGCTCTCCATGCATGAGATACGACGCCATCCATTCCGGAGAGTCGATAAACTGATACTGATTGATGTGGTGCAACTGAGTACCATCACAGGTCACGTTGAATCTGAAATGTTATACCGTTTTTAAGCAAATATTTTCATCACTTTCGTATAAAGTTACTGTCGGATTGACCGGATAGTATCAATAAAATAACCACACCGTCAAGCTAAGTACAGTCTATAAAATAATAACTATTTTTTTTTTAAAGCCTGAACTAAATACATTTTATTATTCTAATTTTACCTCATATACCGGCAAATATAAATATTACAATGTAGATAAGGATATCATAACGACTTGTAATGATTTTTAATTACCTACAGAGAAAAGGTTTATCATGAGCTAGCGGCGATAGGATATAATAAGTTAATAATAGTAATAATACTAACAAGTGTATATAAGTTCTATAGCTATATCGATAGATAAATGCCTACACTAATTTAGGGGAAAAATTAAAAAATTACCAAATAAAATCAAGAAATAATTACGGTTTTTTCAAGACTCTTTTTATACCGCCAATGTCATTTGTTGAACACTTCTTCGTCTCCCAAAATAAAACATCAGGCTGCTCAAAAAAGAAAAATGAACGAATAAAATAAAGGAAAGTAAATAATGGTCCATAATGAAGGAGAAATTAGAAAATTCTGTGATTAAAAGAAAACTTTTTTTAGTAAAATATAAGTAAAGTGAATAGAATTCTACAGGAAATTAAAAAGGCACAACGTTAATACAAAGATCAGCGAAAATAAATGAACGTCAAAAAGGATTTAAGAGTGGTCTTTATGAAAAAGAAACTACCATGACGAAGTAGCAGTAGAGTTGAGAGATGAAATGTCTCATTGAACAAAATATCAAAATAATTTAACTATTATAAGGATTTTAATTACTTGTTAAGTTATTTTATGACTATCATTAATTATCGGTCATAATTATTATTTACTTGTTGTACTACTTTAATACCTAGTATTTTCCCAAAGCGAAACAAACCATTATTGATACAATATAAATATAAAATCTTGATGCATTCATAAATCATAGTGCACCTGTTTTTTGTAATTTTTATGTCATTAAAAATTGTATATATAATGATAATAAATTATTTAGATATTCGATCAATCTAATAGATTAAGACTTATTGATACTTAAGTAGATATCAGTTTGATATTTTGATACTTTTTGCACACCTTTGTCAGGATTGATATTTTTTTCATTAAAAAAGTACATGACGAAAAATTATCATTAATTTCAAAAAACCAACCTTAAAATTAAATTTGATTATAAAATGGTGTTGTCCATGAGCGGGGGGGGGAATAAGGTCTTAAGGTGGCCCTAAGTTTGGGGTCTTTACTCTATGAATTTTCGTTAGTTAAAATTAAAAAAATGTAAACTCTAAAAAGACAAAAATATTGTAGTTATATATAAATAATATTATGATATTATATTTGTGTAGACTCACTAACCTGCCCTTGAGCAATACCGATAGTCTTTCATCGCTCGTCGTGATTGCTTCGACCGCATAACACTGTCCGGGCGAAAGTTCCATGATGGCGGCTTCCCGGGTAAGTTCTCGAAAGTGTTTTTGACTTACTTTCAACGGTTTGAACACCCGCAAGTACAGCTCCAATAGTTCGGCCGAAAGAGCCGGAGGCATGAACTTTCTGCACAGCCTCACGGCGTACACAGCGTTGACCAGAGCCATCGCCATGTACCAGAAGAGCGCGTCCGCCGCACAAACGTCCGTGGAAGCCCACAGACCAGACATTGCAAATCCGACAAACAGCAATGCCCTAAACGATCATCATTTAAAAAAACCTCAATTTATTCTGACATTTTTATTTGAAGTTTTTTTTGCAATTTCAAAGCAATGTATGCGAGAAGAAAATCCATGACCGAAATTCTGGGTAGTTTCTCGATTCTCGGTAGAGGATAATATTTGTTTAAACTCTCCTCTCGAAAAGTCGATAAAAGTGCTAGCTATACAAATATGCCATGCCGTTCGACATGAGCAAACAAACCCCAAATCACTATAAAAACCGTCTCGAATACGGATCAAAGCTAATAATGATACACGTTGTATAAACGTTTCTCGGCTATTTGACAGTGAACGTTATACCAGACGATAGTGATTCTAAGCCGCTATATCATTTTATTACAGATTTTTGTAAATAGTACATTACTCACGTCCGTGTGTACTCGCGGTCCCGCTTAATATACTTGTGTATTTTTAAGGATTAAACCAGGTCGGTTGCAGAATTATGTGTAGACACTACAGTCTCGAAAAAAAACACAAATATTAGATAAATTCTATAAAATTTGATTTCACCCAAGACAATTAATGCTACTGAATAACAACTACTATTCAACAGTGACGGTCTGTAGAAACTAGAACAATATGCATTGTAGCATATACCGTTGGCAAGCGGTTGAGCTTTATATTAACCCTAAAGTATTTTTTGTAAGTAAAATCCCGAAATTTTGACCATCAATCTTTAACGATCCGAAAACCAGATAAACGCGTCAACCACAACAAACAAATCCGCTTAAGTCTATATTATATTATATAGGCTGTGCACACTTGAACGGTGCCAATCCGACATACAATGCTTTAAACGATTTAATTTCGATTAGCTTAACGCAGTAAGGCGTTAATTACAGTTCTCGGGGCCAAATATCGGATACCTTAAACTGTTGTATCTTATATTATTATAGTGGTTTGCGACGACTATGTATACTTCAAATAGGTATAAAGGTAGTTCAACACATACCGAAAGTATAAGTTAAACAAATTGATTTATCCAAACGCTAATCTACGTTAATAGCTGCATTTAAATAAATCTGTTTAAACGCACAAATAGAGAGACTTGCATAATCTTTATCTGCATAGTTATTTGTGTAAATTTGTATTACTTATTCAAGTTTATGTTCGAATACTAAACCGACAAGTTATGGTAATTTGTTATTAATAAACATAGCTGTCGAGAGAGTACAAAATGTAAATTGGAAATTTCCGACGGACTCCCCCTCATGTAAAATTCATTAATTCAATTTTTTTTGGCTAGTTGTTACATGACAGTGAAAACGTTGTGTACTTTTTTGAAATTTATAAAACAATTATATTTACTTATATTTATTTATTATTTAATTGGTTGAACAGTATATTATATATATATATATATATATATTTTTTGTATTACCTACCAACGCGGAATGCGGTTGGCTATACAAGCAAAGGGAATAAAAATAAAACTCAGACCTTTGAACGTGAATCGAACAGTGACAAATAAACATTTATTCAACGACGGATGTGGGCCGAGAGATTGGAATACACTCCAATGATTTCAAATGAGATCCCATCAAAATATGGTTGAGCGGATATTTAATAAAAATGTATATACTCTGGGTTCGAATCAGAAATAATATTTTCTATATATTTTTTGCTTCCAATAATAAACAAAAGCCACAAGCATAGTTATTGCATCATTACACCCGAAGTCATTCCCCCGTTATACAAATTACTTTTTTTAATTTGATAAATTTACCAAACAAAGGTATCTTGAATCCGTATATACTACATAATACGAGAAAAGAAAAGAAACAGAAATCTCTTCATTGGATGCCACTAATGTAACAGTGATCTGTATATGAAACGTAAAAGGAAAAAAGGAAAGTTAATTGAATACACTTTAAATTGTATTTTATAACCTTGTGTTATACTAATATTATAAATGTGTATATTGTGTTAAAATATGAAAACTTTTCAACTACTTTAAAAGTTTTATCATTTTTGGGAAAACTGTACTCGCTACTTTTATGTATAGTGCTCTTTTATAATAAATCTTTATATAGTAAGCTGTTTGCTTATTTAAATTCCTTGAGCCTACTCTTTACATATATTCAATATTTATACTGTTCAATTATCCGATTAACACCATTAATTAATGCAATTTTTCTAATATCAGAGGCCAGAGCCCAAAGAATTGTTAAGTTTAAGAAACTCTTTAGCTCCATGTCTTAGAGACAGTGAACACACTTTTGAAATTCACTGGTAATCTAGACTGTAGAGTACCTACATAATATCTAATAGTGAATAGTGATTACCCTCCGACATGATTTTACTACACATAAACAATAATATTATTTAAATGGAAAATACACAAGCTAGTAGTACCTTAAGGACAACACGCTGAGTTTGTAGCTCCTCGGTACTATGAAGGCGGCGAGGAAACATATATTTGAGAACTGGAACAGACTCTGTTGGGCGGGTATCCAATGGCAGTACTTCTCATACGACATCTCGGGCTGGCCGGTACCGTTGATAGGGAAGAACGAATCCATTTCGGTGGTATTGTCGTACGCGTAAAAATAATAATCACTGGCCGACCGCTCTGGCGGAGCGGTACCGTTTGGCATTGTACCGACGATGGTGGTATCCATCGTAGTCGTACCGCCGTGGGTGTCGTTGACGATGACGGTACCGTCTTGCAGCGTCGTGGTCGCAACAGTTGGCGCCGCCGCTGTCGGGCCGTATTTCGCGTTGTAGTTTGCCGACTCGACGGTGGTGACGGTATTCAGATGACCCATCACCGGGTGCCGTGGCCGAAGCAGCAACGTTCACCCGATCAGATACTTGTTATTCAACGCAACCGCCGACACCGCCTCCTTTGCTGCAACCTGAGGCAAATCAACAGCAATAATTTTAATAAATAATTATCAAATTGTTTTTAGTACAACACAGCCTTAGGATAACATTCACTTGTAGTAAAAAATAACTATGTAGTCATAATATTATATTACATCGATGGTGTGATAAGCAGTGACTTGTCCAGGAATTTTGTATGGGGATAGGAGATTAAATAAATAAGTTAACGTAGTCTTGTATTGACAGGCATATTTCACGCATTGAGTTGAAAAATATTTGTTTAGAACTATAATAAATAAGCCAAGTGGCGTCAAAACTAAAAAGTGTTCATAATTAAGTAATTATACTTTGGAGTTGTACTGGATTTTAAAAATAGCACTCCCAAAATGTTTTACATTAATTTCTAACGCGTTTATATAAAATACAGTTCCATAAACTATATAAGTAAGTAGTAACATCAACAAAACAACAGATTATAAAATTACATATTGTGTTTGTTAACAAAGAAATGAGTATAAAATAGGTATAATATATATTTTTTCTTTATTTTATAACTAATCTATACAAAATGCACTCATACTAAATAAAACGTTTTGGTGGAGAGTATGAATATAATATACTACAATATTATACTACTTTTCTTATAAGTTCATACCTGATGTGCAAATGAAACAATACACCTGCGCGCTTTGTTAAAGAATATAAACTTTACATTTTATTTGAAAAGTGTAAATATTAGAAATTCCTTAATAAATTTGTGTGGTATGTTAAAATGTAGTTAACCATTCAACATAACGCGAAACACGTGCCACATTTTTACATACTTAAAGAGTAAATTTTATACTGGAGCTTTTTTTTGTATATTTTTAATACATTTATAGTTTTCTGAAAGAACACAACGTTAGAACCTATTGTAATAATAATGCTTTGGGCGGTGAATGCACATATATTACACTGTTTAAAACCTTTGCGTTGGGTGTCATCATAAACATTATAGTTTTGAGGAACCAAAAATCCCCTTTTTTACATGGCGATGGCGTGACCGATAACGATAAATAATATATTCCGATGTTATAACTATAACAATGATAATAATATAGCTATAGGTGTGGTCCGTGTCAATCATTAAAATAGCACCACAATTAACATGTAATTATTATACCTAAGTATTATTATTCGTATTATGTGTATTCTATACATAACGTCTTAATCTTATTGTCGTTATACTATTGACATAATTTTCATAAAAAAAAATGTCGTTTTAATATGGTTTAGTGTAAAATATCGACTAGGTACTGTGTGCAATAAAATAATTTTGTTTTTAAGGCGTTGTCGACATTTTAAAAAGGTTGAACCCATTATTACCTACACATTTTTACTCATTATTGTGAACAGATGTTTTATGCATGGAATATGAAAAAATCTTTTAGAATGTTAATGTTTAGAATTTTCCCATTGGCTTTTGCGTTTCTGCATAGATTTTACTTATTTTTCTAGTTTTTTTTTAGGTCTGTCTTTTAGTCTATCCATTTATCCATTCTCGTATTTTGTGTTTTTTTTTGAAAAATAACTTTTAACATCTTAACAAGTACTTTGTACTTTGTTATAAAAATACATTTTAGTTTTAATTCAAACTTCGACATCAATTATACCTTAACGAATTAATATGTGATTTATTATAGTTTCTTCTACAACCGTATTTCTGAAAACCCATGCTTACTCTATAAACTTATTTAATTTGTTTCACCTGTATGAGGGTTGCCTAAAAATCTGAATATGCTGTATTAAAACTCTAAAAAATGCAAAACGAGACCTAACACGTATAAACAATGATAAAAAAGCTTCGTAATTTAAAATTGGATTTTTCACTTATCATTCTAAATACAAATATCCACGCAAACTCTAAAAAACTACACGCGACCACGCATTTAGAAACATTAAGGTCAACCCTTCTGCTACAATTTTATTAGCATGTTAAACGCGATATTTTTTAGAGAAATGATAAATGATAATATATGTATATACGAGTCATCAAATCATGCATATTGTCCCTAGATAATTAATTTAAAAAAAATTGCACTCAAAATCATCATTTGACTAATTATTAACATAGTCAGTCTTAAATTCCGAGAGGATTGCATCGAGTGTTTTTTCTTAAATTGAGTCTATTTGAAAGCAAAAATATTTATACCGATTTGCTATTACATAATATTCTCAATTACAGTCGAACGGCGTCCCGTGTATGCAATTCTGGTACATATTATCATAACATTATTATACCTTTAGTAACAAGCGTATACAATATTAAGTACAGTAAAATATTAACATACCTAGTCTGTACGAAATTTAATTTTGCAGTGCACCTGCGTTCATACTTATGACTTCTCTTATGTATTATTATGATAACATTTTAGTTATATTTTACCTATATTATAATATTATACAGTATGCGTAGACATGGTGGCAATTGCTACCGGTACTGGCTCTGATGTTTAATATTACATTTGTATCGTTCAAATAGGGAGGTAAAACGTAATCTAAGTGCCTACTCACCTTTCAAACGTTTTGTCCCCAATCGGCTTATCATCATCTTGCATAGTAACAATATTTACTGGATTCACAAATACCATACGCGATAATCTATTCTATTAAAACTATAAATAAATATATATTTCAATAGACAGTATAGAGTGGCAAAAAACCATTAGCTACAGCTACATTATTATACAAACAAGACTGATGTTAAAATTTAACGACTTACAATATTACATACTACACTACTGGTCTGATATTATATGGCATTTACGACCTTTGTGTAAGTATGCACTACGCTACGAGCTACGTTTCTATACAAACGTTTTAATTCCATTGATTTTCCAGCATTGCAATACGACCAGACAACCGTCAGATAGCGCTGCGAATAGCAAAAAATAAAATAATGGCGGGCAACTGGAAAATTAAATTTGCAACATAAACATGACGTGTGCAAGTTTCAAACAGTTTTTCAACTATTTTATTAAAATAAAAGCCATCAAATATGTAACGAGGAAAGCGAAAAGATACCTCTTGCCGGCAAAGTTAATTTCGAGAAAAACGCCAAAACTTCAAAATGTAATAACTTACCTAGTCAGTTTTTGAGCTACAATATAATATAATATTATGATTTATAATTGATGGTAAATAAATAGCTTATTATAACGGGCGTGAAACTCAACTCCGGTGTAAGTCTTTCTTTAGGTCAAATTTTTTTTATTAAATGCACGACTACCTACTACTTAGTCGGCACCAAATATTATACAAGTACATGCCTAGCATAGGTTACAAGACAAATATTTATTGGTATTTAAATACCAGTAGGTATAAATAAAAAAAATCGTTGGTAATAAAAATTAGTAAATTTGTATTTATAAAAATCTATGTATTTTTTTTTTTGAAAAACATAGGTATTAAAAATTGTAGTAATAATTAAAAGAAGACCAATGTGTTTCTGCTGCAATTTTTGTATAACTATATTTAATCATCACTCATCGTCCTCCATTTCCAAGCTATGGTATTTTGATGTTTTTTCCAGCCAATTTTCCACACCCGTGTTGCCCATTTCGTTAGCCAAATTAATTCTGTCCAATTTTGTTGGGCAGAAATTTGAATTATCATTGGTCATTTGTCGTTTATCCATAAGTGAATCGCATTTGGTAATTTTCACTGTGGTAAATAATGCAATATTATTATTTCAGTAATACGTATCATAAATACTCTGTATTTTTATTTTGTGCCTATACCCATGATATCCCTTAAGCCGCTGAACCGATTACTTTGTGTGATTTACTACACATAGATCAGAAATCGTACACAAAATATACTTATTAACCATTAATTATGTACCATAGGGTGTTCTAAACAGCCCACTACTCCAAGACTGAAAAGTGAATCAATTGAAAAAACTTCTAGGGGTGAGTTTCTCTTTTTTTTTTTTATCATTTTATACATTTTGATTCGAGCAGTAGATACTAAATTACTATCAACTTAAAAATTAATGGCATGTACGTACGTTACTATTTTTATTTTAAGTTTCAAAATTCTGTAGGCACACTTTTTTATCAAGAAAATTCTGAAAAATCAAACAATACATTTATATTAAAAAAATTGATTCATATTTGTATTTAATAGTTTTCACTATCTACAGTTTTGCATCGAAACGTCTTTTTGAAAGGGATTGTATCAGTTTTAGTTATAATAATTCCTGTAGATCTGTGACAATCTATGCTGTTTTTTTTAAAAAGTAAATACACTGGGTATATATACTCAATGGTACATACTATATTATTATCTTAAACTGCAATACAATATTTCTCTAGTTGCATCATAACAACATATAATCTATTGTCAACTATATTCAGAATGGATATGAATTTTTAACTTGTAATTATATTTACCAGCAGGAACAGGTGATTTGGAACTATATGATGTGACGGTTGCTTGTTTCTTAATAGTCTTAATAAGTGGCGGTTTTATCTCATTTGTTACCAAAGCTGGAGTAATACTAGGTAACCTTATGTCCAAATGTGAACCTTTTTCTGTAACAATCTATAATAAAAACTCAAATTTAGCATACGCGATACCTCATCACATTTGAAATGATTGAAACTGCAAATCTAGTCTACATTACTTTGTTGTTCATTAAGTATAATTTAATTGTTATATCTTTAGCTACTAATGTGGCCAATACAGTGGCTAAATATGTTTCTTTGACAAATAGGTACTCTAAAGATGATCTTTGCCAAAATATATATCGACAAGTTGTCGCAGCGATTACTGAGACCTGCAATAATTATAAAATTAGATTCCTATCCTTATATAAATGGAATACTATATTCTTATGTGTTTAAATAAAATATAAGTTGTTTATATCGTACTTTAAATTTGTCTTCGGAAGAACCTCGGCTTTCAAATTCTGGTGAATCTAGAAATTCACATGGTCCAATAGGATGTAGTAACTGTTGGTCCTGCAAGACATTTGCTCTACCCGACAATAATAAACCGAGTCTATCCGTTTTGGTTAAATTTTGCATTGCATACGCTTCGCCAACATGTAAAGTCATAACCTGAGAAAATTGTTCACTGACAAGCTTTTTAAACTGAATTCTAGTCACCTTAAAGTAAAAAATAAACAAATTAGATAGGTGTAATGTTTAAAAATAAAATTATATTCAGCAAACAGTATAACTGTTAAGTTCTTACATTGAAAGGTTTAAACATATTACGATAAATTTGCTCAAGCTCTGGATTAAAATATATTGGACGTCTCTGATATATAAGATAAATAAGTTGTAGTATATTTATGAAAAGGAAACAAAAATTCCACGCTAACAAATCTGGAGAGCATACCACACGCCATGCCCATGTAATCAATATAAGAAAGCCTAAAAATAAGAATTTTTGTGTAATATGTATAGGATTATAAATGGAATGTGATGAGTAGGTACCTGCAATCAATGTAGAATGCATACACAATATCCCATAATAGCTAGTTGGCATAGAGTACGATACAAAAAACAAAGCATTAGCCAATTGAAACATCCAATGTTGTGGAGTACGCCAGTTTATACACCAATCTACATGTAAAATATTAAAGTTTAGTTTTTACTAGTTCAAAATATATCGGATGAGAAAACGATCATTCTTATCTTACTAGTATACTCGATAAATGTTCCGTTAGAAGTACCATTTCCAAGAAAATCTGTTGAGTTGATAATATCACTCAAGCCAGATCCAAAGTATGACATTATTTTATTTTAAAAAATATTTTGCAGATATTGGTAAAAAAATAAGAAAAAGAAACTATTTTGATAACTTATTCCTGTATATACAGTGTCAGCATGAGCTACTAGTCAGATATTGATTTTTCTTCACCCCTCACAGTATAGGCAGTAGAAGGGTAGGAAAATGGTACAATATTTTCCCACTGCCTTATTATTCAGCAAAACACATCTTTTATCACAAGTGCACCTTATAATGTGAGAAGGGAATGCACACAGTGTAAACCCTACCACTACATCACTGGTCATAATTTATTTATCGCACAATTTATGGACAAAATAAATTAGAAAAATAGCCAATGCATTACTAAGACAAATAACAGCCAAAAAATTAATAATTTTCAAATCACATAATTTATTGTTTTACATAGCATGAAAATTTGACAAGTTACAACAATACAAACGAATGATAGATTCGTTGAATGATAATGATCACTGCTTCATTATTAATTAACATTTTTTCAAGTACAATAATATAATGTCAATCTAATAATTAATCATCATTTACTGAAATATTCAAATTTGACGTAAATTTAATTATAATATTGTCATAAATTATTAAGTAGTCAGAAATTGTATTACATTAGTTAATGATTTAACTGATCACAAATTCAAAATATTTAAACAATTTAATGAGGGCTTGTAAATAATAAAATACAGAAAATATGGTAGTAATCATTTTAAATTACAATATAATGTCTAACAATCTTTTACAAAAATATTCAAATTTAACTTTATTTAATTATTACATTGTTATAAGATGTCATATTATTAAGTAGTCAGAAATTGTATTACATTAGTTAATGACTAAACTCATCACAAATTTAAAATAATTAAACAATATAATAAGGGCTTGTAAATAATAAAATACAGAATATATGGTGATCAGTAAATAACTATTTTTTTTTTTAATTTGTTATTATTCTAAATGAGCAATAGAAAATTAATTCAAAGAACCAGCTAAATTACAAAAATACAAATATTGTTAGAACCAGATATAAGGTCAACATTGACATGGGTTTAAATTAAACTATTGAAGTAGATGAAAATTATACATTGAATATAAGTAATTATTGTACAAAATAAATGTACTGAAATACACAGTTAACAAATTACGAAGTACACACCATAAACAATAAAATGTTGGCAGTACTTATGAAATTCATTTCACGTTACTGATGGACTGTCTGTACCACTACCACTGTCGTTATGCTCTTTACGCAGGTGTGCACCACGTTTACCACCGCTTTTAGATAATGTAGCTACTTCTTTTTGCAAAGTCTTAATTTTACTGTGTAACATTTCAACTTCCCTACTATACTCTTTTTTATCCGAGTTCATCTTATTGCGTAATTCATTTTCAGTCGTAAAATGTTTTGCTTTCAGCTCACAAATCTATAAAAATTTACATAAAATACAATTTTCATAACAAAAGAAATTTACATTTTAATTTGTAAATAAAAAATTCTGTAATTAAAACACACAACTAAAACTAATTTTTCTTACTAATTTATCTTTATTTAAAAGTTGAAAATCTTTTTGATTTGATAATTTTTGTATCATAGCTATTTGTTCTCTAAGTTCAGTAATGACAACTACGTGGTCCGAAGAATTCGAATCAATGTGATGTTTGTGAAAATTTTTATGCATTTTTGATGGTGGTGGAAGTGCAAAGTCCGGTCCACTATCGTCTATTAATTTCATAACATTGCTATGTTTATTTTTCCTGTTTTTAGATCTGAAAAAATGAAAAACGAAACAATTTTTTTTTATAATTTTTAAGTTGACAATACTGACCCATCACGTTTTCTAGACAATTGCTTCATTTCAGCGTCAGATTTTTTCGTCTTGGCTAAGGCCCGTTTAAACGATAATGTACACAACCAACATAATACTTTTCCTTCTAGTAACTAAAACATACAATTATTTAATTTATAGAGCACTTTTTGTTTAATGTTTACACTCTTACTTCAATTTCTACGTCTTGTCTATTAAACGCACAATTTTGTTTGCATTGATCACAAGTCACTGGTGGACCATATTTTCGTTCTGAATTAGCACACCTTTGACATTTTTGTCCAATAAACGCAGCAATGATATTACAATAGTTACAAGCCGTAGGTCTACCATATTGTACAACAAATTGTTCACATTTTTTGCAAATTGTACTTGTATTTGATTTACTAAAACACATTAAATAAAATACAAATAATAATTACTATAGAAGTAGAATAGTATTCTACACAAGAATAGAAAGTACACATTTTTTTAAGTAGGTTCTCAACTTACTCAGTCTGCTGAAATTCAGATCGGCAATATGTACATTTGACCACTGGATACGACCCTCGGCATTCCTTAACAAAAAATAATTGGCATGTTTCAAATGATGGATACCAATCAAAATAAATTTGTTTTACTTACTTTGCAAAGCTGCTGGCCGGAAGACAATTCTTCGTAAGGATGTCGCTTAAAACACTTTGAGCAAGCAAACAACGCCGACTTATTGTTACTCATTTTTATTAGGATGTAAAAATATAACGAAGACTAGCTGTTGCTTAAAGTACCTAGTGGTTTCTATTACACCGGCCTTGACGATAGGAAGAATGACAATAATTATTTTATTATTGCTGCCAGCAACTTTTTAACATAAAAATATGATAAAGCAATAACTATGAAAATAAAAATAAAAAATAACTATAATTTTCTGTTATGTGTGAGATTGTGAATCCCTTTGTATACGTAGATAAACAATAAATATTACCAAACCAACGTTTGCTATATTTTGGGTATAAAAAAAATAAAAATGCACAGGTAGCCGAACGCGGAACGAACACATTACATACAACCTAGGATTATGATACAAACCGTGAACACCAACATAGACACGATTGTAATCAAACTGGAAAACTAAACGTATGTTGGCTAGACTGTTTGACCACTGATATAGTGATATGACTTATCCAAGATTAAAGATACATTATATGTTATATGTTCTCTACATCGAGGCCTTATCAATTATTGTTCAAGTCAAATCAGCTGACCATCACAAATATTACGGCGTAGGTATGATCAAATCAAAGGGACCTATGCAAAATAATGTTATCGTTAAGCATTATGGAATCTGTTATCGGTAAGCGGTTACTACTTGCAGCTTGCTACTTTATAATCCTGCAGTTACAGAATTAATATCAAAGCTCAAGTTTATTTAAAAGAACCGTAAAACTTCAAAATGTCACAGTTACCTGATTGTCCAGAGAGTTTGAAAAAGATTATAAATTATTTAAAAATCGCGTCCGAACACGATGCCAAAGATCCAGTGATCAGTTATTGGAGTTTGTTCACTTTGACAATATTCTTAATTACATGACATGCATGATTTTACATTTGTTTAATGTTATATTTATAGGTCGTTTGTTTGCTCTTCAGATGGCTTTGACGATAGACAAATCATCAAAAGAAGCTAAAAATTTCTTAGTTTCTCTGATGGACTGGTTAGAAAAACAAAAAACTACTATGAAGGACAATGAAATGATTACAAACGAGACTGCAGCCCAAGCCCATTTTGAAAACTATGCAGTCAAATTATTCAATGCGGCTGATGCAATGGATCGTCAACAGAATTACAACAAGTAAAATTATAATTAAAAAACATTTAACTAATATATTTAGTACAATGATGTATTATATTTAATGTAGAAACATCGTTAAGTTGTTTTTCACTGCTGGCCTACTCATGGATGTACTTGGTGTGTTTGGTGATGTTTCCGAAGAAGTCTCCAACACTCAAAAATATTCAAAATGGAAAGCAACATATATACATAGCTGTATGAAAAATGGTGAAACACCAGTGCCTGGCCCGCCTGCTGAAGAAAATGGATCAATTGGATTTAATCCTAAATCAGAAACAAACAGTCAAGAACCACCAAATAATATACCTACCGTTCCTTCTTATTCACAACCTAGCAATGGTTAGTCGAGTAGAATTGGAAAATAAAACATAAATCACTGGCTTTGTTATCAATAATAGTACATTAAAAATAAGATGGTTTATGTTTTAGATTATCCTGCTCCAGCATTTACCCCGAATCCAAATAACACACAGTTGCCCAACACAACAATAACTACTCCAACAGAGATTCGTCCAGTTGTATCAGAAGGTGGACCCCTTGTATTAAAAGGTTAGACAAATTTACAAAAGTAATATATAGTATTAAGGATAGGTCTGAAATCCAAAATATTAATAAAATTTATTAAATATGCAGTATTAATTTAATTATTAATGTCTATATTTGGTACATTGCTACTCAGCTTGATTCAAATATTACAATTATTATAAATACCCTTCGAACAGCCACTGTTCATATTTATAGTTTCACTTTAACAGGATTTTTTTATCTAATTAAAACTCAAATCAAAATAATTGTTACATTATTCTTAATTCTTATTATCAAATTCAATTATGGAATTTTATCAATTTTAAGATATACATATTATTTAGATAAAACTATTGAATTCATAAGTTAATAACAGATTTTTTTTGCCCTGAGAATGAAGAGGTTACATAGATTTTGTATTTTACACTTTTTTGAGAAAAAAAAAATTTTAATCCCGAGAGTAATTTTTTTTTTTTTTTGACAACTTTTTTTTTTTAGATGGAATGAAATTGACACAAGCTCAAATTACAAAAGCCCAAAAATATTGTAAATTTGCATCTAGTGCATTAAACTATGATGACATAGCAGAATCTGTTTCAAACCTCCAAAAGGCATTAAAATTATTAACGACTGGTGAAGATTAGTTGTTATGATATATTAACATACATATTGTACCTATAATTGATTTTAATTTATTTTTTTATTTCTAATATACAAAATTTATTATCAACTATTAGTGTTAATATATGTAAAAAAAAATTAGTACTATTTTAATAATTGTATCCAAAATGAATTAATTAACACTCCACAATTAAATTATATACAAATACATATTAATAATAGTGACTAGATTGAATGAACACAAAACAGCAAAATATTAAAATAAGTTGGAAAACCAGTCAAATTATATAAAAAAAATTCAAAATTAATACATAATAATGAGCTAGGCATTTAAGTATAATTTTTTATTCTTGTTTTAAAGTTTTTGCTTCTGCACTTTCTAATCGTTCTTTACGCTTTATTTGGTAGTCGATTACTAGTCGTCCAGCCAACATAAACAAGAACACTAATGATGGAGCCATACGGTCAAATTTATCTTTAGCCGCCCAATGTGTGTATACAGCCAAAATATGTGATAGTAAAAGAGTTATATTAGCTCCATTTTTTACATTTCCTGAAAATATAATATGATATAAGTGTATAATTGTAATATTATGTGTTATTAAAAATGTTAATTGGAAATCAAAGCATAGACAAATTTGTGGTATACTTGTCCACCTTACAATATAGTAGTATAGTTGTGCGTACTTATAACGAAAATTGTGTACCTGCGAAAAAAGTATACACTATTTGTTATATGTAGGTACATGCATACATGGAAAAGTGGAGTACACACAATGCATAACTTCACCACTGCTAAAGTGGTTTTTATGTTTCAAACAATTAATTTCTCAACAACCGTATTTACATTAATAGTTAAAATTGGAAAAGCAAACTTTACTATGCTATGAGAGATGGAAACATGATTGTAAACGCACTTTTGTGATTATGTTTAATACTTACTGATAGGAATGAAAGCCAAACATGCACCGCTAAATACTTCAATAGCACCAACTGTTCTTCGATACCATTTAGCTGGTACTTTGAAATCTATCATCTTTGATAATGGAAATACTTTGGCATAACTAACATAGTCTTTGCGCTTAAAGAGAAAATGAAACAATAAAATACATTTTAATATAATATTTATGACAAGGAAAAAAAATTATTACATAGTTTTAACATTTTAATTATTAATTAAATTTTTGTTATTATTATATCAAATGCAATATAATGACCACATTTATTATAAATTATAACTGTATCTAGCATCAAATTTATAGAGAAAACATTTGAAATTAATGTTACTATCCGAAATATACATAAAAATACAAATAGTAGTTATACATTGGATTATAAAGCTATAATAATTTAACAATAATATTTTAAATACTGAAAATAATGTATTATAATTTAATATGACCACATAGTACTAAAAAATTAAAAAAACAATTCTGGAAAACAATATTTTTGAATTAAACAAGTGCCAAATATTTTAAAACTACATTTAGGCATTTTGCCAGCTAGCACATTTTACCACAAATAGATTCATCAGCATTTTTGCATGGTGCTAATGTATAATATGAAAAACCAAAATAATTGTTTAAGTAGTTGACATGTTGTCTTATTTTATAAATATCAATTTAAATAAAACTATTAAATATGCCATTCCAAATAGTTTCTAACTTATTTTACTTCTTCTCTAAACTACATATTATAATTAATGCAATTAGTTTTAAACACAAATACTAAGAACAGAATATTTGTCGAATATAATACAGTTTCTTGAACAATCGTAAATCCTTTAACCATAGGCGCAATTTCAATTTTTAACACGGGGGGGGGCGGGCTGGACATTTTTTTAAAATATATATATAAGTAAATATATTTTTGTTTTTTGAAATTATGTATGCATAAACTAATTTTTATATGCCCTTAACATCGATCTAACCCTTCCTTGTAAGTAATTCGTTAAATCTATCAATTTTGTATAGTATGCTTAAGAATTAGTTATAATTTTAATTGAATTTAATAGAAGCACATAAAAAACTGATGTGTTAAGTTAACAATTGAAGGGCACAGGGGAAGAAGGGTAGTAGTCCATGTATGAAAATTTTAGAGTATAGCAAAAACAAAGTTTGTGAATTCCTCTCCCTCTTACATAAGAACAAAAAAAATCACATCAAGTGCTATTCTACTAAAAAATGTATTTATTTAAACAATTTATTGACACATCACACAATTAAATAAAACTATTTAAAGAAAAAAATTTTCATAAATGGACTACAACCCTTCTTCCCCTGTGCCCTTCAATTTACTATTAGTTATATTAAATTGTCGGTTCAAAAAATACTCTGTTGACATTCTAAAAAAAAAAAGTTCAATACAATATAGTAAATGAAAAAAATTATCTTACAAGATCTTTGTGAAGTTCTTTATTGATGACAGGACTAATTTTCATAGTTCCCACAAATAGGAAGAAAACGCCGAGTAGCACTGAAAGACTTTTAAGAACTATCGATCCCATAATTTGGCCTTTAATTTTTTAAAAACTACCTATAACGAATAAGTAGACAATAATTTGTTATAATCATATATGATATGTATATAAATATAAAAAGTAAAAATGCTAAGATTTTGTACGAGGAAAAAGCTTAGATTTAGGTAATTACTTTTATTTTATTCAATAAAACGACCTGCAAAGGGATCGGTGGACGGCGATTGGTTTATTCGCGGTAACTCCTATGGCCTTATCCGACACCCTGTGGCCTGTCGGCTGTCATTACTCATTCGCCCCGTCCTCCAGTGTCGTTCAGCACTTTACAGCGAAAAGAAACTAACAGTGTTGCCACATTATCTGTCCTGAAAATCCAATTGGAACACACTTTTTGTACAACTCAAATTGAATTTATTAATTCTACACATATAATACACCATCTCTGGAGGATATATTTTAATTACATTCTACTTACAACCGCTCGTAAACAAAATGTTAACTTGACATTTCGAAGTAGACCACTAAGTTCTATTGTCCAACTCAGCCTTATGTTGTAAGCACTGTAAGCATAGTTGCTTCGCTTTCACAATTCACATTTCATTTCATATGGATAAGGAGCGCAAGCGTCTCGTAGCAGTGGCCAGTACTGAATCAATACTGAATTGAGAAATGTCGCTAAAAATATAGTCGTTAATAGATTACAGTATGTGTCCGGTACAGTTTTTCCAAATTTATTTTTAAATAAATAACGTATGTTATTTAACGATTTTTGGGTAAAGTAATTATATTTGGTTGTAAATAATAATAATTTGCAAAAACAATGAACATCACGGACGACAGTAGGATAACTGACAACGCCGGTTTGTACAACATTAATGTGGTGCAGTCGTTGACATGGCAATATTGCCAAACGTACCGGGTTCAAGGTAAATTGTATTGTCATAGGTCAAGATGAAGATTACTTGGAGAATGGTGTGCCAAAGAAAATGGAAAAAACTGACGTGAAAACCAAAAAACGCAAGAAATGCTTACGAGACAAGGCTGCTCCAAGACCTCCGCTCTCAGGTGAGTTGTAATAAATAAATAAAAATGAAAACTGACCGAATTTGTTCAAATAGTTACCTTGTTATATAGGATATATACGGTTTTTAAATGATAGACGTGATCAGTTTCGTGCTGAAAACCCAAGCCTACCTTTTGCAGAAATAACAAAAATGTTAGCAACTGAATGGAACCAGCTACCAGTAGATAAAAAACAAGTAAGCGTTAATTAAATTATAGTAGAATGTATTTTTTTTATCAATGATATCCATACTAAATTTTGAAAATAATAAGTATTTAATACTCTGAATTTATTTCTTAAACAAATTAGTTATAATAGCTAGTTTAGTAAAACTTAAATAAATATTTTTTTTATATTTAGCAATATCTATTAGCTGCAGAACAAGAACGAGTAACATACGTTGAAGAATTAGCTGCTTATAGGAAAACTGATTCGTACAGAAATTTTGTTCAGCGTAAATTAAAAAAAAAGAAACCAAATGTTTCTATAGAACAGGTTTGTTGGTTGATTGATCTAAATTATTTAATAAACTATGCATTTTCTATATTGATTGGTGTTATTTATATTTTAATGTATACAATTTCAATCAATTATGAAAGGTATGATTTTAAATTTTCTCTTTAAATACCTGGTATAATTTTAGACATTGTCATCTGCAAATGTTTTTTGTTTAAAAATGATTAAACTAGTTTATAGAATATTGTTGTGTTACACTTTTAGATTCAAAATAAGGAACCAGAAAAAGAGAAAGAAAAAGAAAAGTCATCAAATGATACTAATGAAGCTTATGACATACCAATTTTTTCTGAAGAATTCCTTAATTTTAATAAAGGTTGGTGAATAGTTTTTATTCATATCGACTAATGAAATTTAAAAAATATATATTATTTTAATTTCAGCTAGAGAGTGTGAACTTAGACATCTTCGAAAAACTGTAACTGATCAAGAACAAGAAGTTTCCGTCTTGGACAAACACATTGAAAATTTGAATAATGGTATTACAAAGTTGGTAGCTAATACTGATCAACTCAAAACTGGATGTGAAAAGTTAGAAGAACACTTAGATAGCTTACGGTCTAAATTTCTTGAAACGTTTTCTATGATAAAACTACCAGGTAAATATGGTAAATTTAGTGTAATTTACCAATTATGTAATTTTTTTTCTATTTTAATAATCTCATTTATGAATAATAAAATATATTTTAATAAATGATTTTCAAAATTAAGAACAAATAAAGTATGCACAATATTTAGATCTTCAAAGAAGACTTATAGCATCTAAATAGTTTTAGCTTGCCTTGTCAGTTGTGCTAAATTACATGTAATGGGAGTTGTCAAAGGATCGGCTGTATAAAGAACTAACTGCCCGTAGTATAACACTTCTACATTTTTTTAAAATTAATATTATAATTAATAAGTAGTACAAATTTGAGCACAATATTGAGATCTTCAAAGAAGGCAAAATGCATCTAAATAGTTTTAGTCTGCCTTGTCAGTTGTGCCAAATTACATGTAATGGGAGTTGTCAAAGGATCGGCTGTATGAAGAACTAACTGCCCGTAGTATAACACTTCTACATTTTTTTTAAATTAATATTATAATTAATAAATAATACAAAATTGAGCACAATATTGAGATCTTCAAAGAAGACATATAGCATCTAAATAGTTTTAGCTTGCCTTGTCAGTTGTGTCAAATTACATGTAATGGGAGTTGTCAAAGGATCGGCTGTATGAAGAACTAACTGCCCGTAGTATAACACTTCCACATTTTTTAAAATTATAATTATTATGATAAATGAACAATATAAATAAATACAAACTTCGACGTTTACACTCCAGTATAGTATCTAATACGTCCTTAATTCTTTCATTTATTTAATAACTTTATTTTATAAAAAAACAATCAATTTTTTTTATTATTAATATTTTTTTTTTTGCACAGTATGTTTTTAAAACAGCGAATCCGTCTAAAAACTATCATCTCATGATGGCCTTAAAGGCCCGTTAAGCTTGATGATGATTTTTTTAAATAATAATATATATCAGTACACCCAAAAAAGCACCTCTTTGTGCTAGAATTAATTTTCAATTTTTTGTTTATCTAATAACACTGCTTGTAATAAAGTTTTAATTTGATACAAGTGACACATTCAATATTAATTGATTTCGTATAAATCAAAATCTCTTACCATCTCCATTTATAGTAGTCACACATTTCCAACTTTAATTCTGATACAACTTTCTTTTTTTTATTAATTTAGTTTATTTATATTGCAGATAGTAAAGAAGAACCACCTACTCTTCAAACTATCGATCAATTTGTTTCAAAACTAGCAACACTTTTAAAGACCGGTGCTGATTCTACTTTAGTATCAAGTGTTAAGAAAGCAGTTTCAACTTTAGATTTTTCTCAGTGTTAACAAACAGGTTGTAACTAGAATTTAACGTAAGAAATTGTCATTTCTTTCTTTCTTTCGTTGTTTTTTTTTTTTTTTTTTTGTACACATTGTATACTTGTGTAAATTTTTAAAGTATCATATATGTTAATTTCATCAAGTACTTATAAAATTAAAATTAAGTTTTATTAAAAATTAAATTTGTTATCTTAGTGTTTCACCTTAATCTTATGATAACTTAAGAATGACTACAGAATGGTAAATAAATATCCAAAGTAATTAAAATGTGTATGTTAATATTAATTTATCTATCATTCACTTCCCTTTATATTTTGAAATTCGCTTAATATAGAATCATACAATATTCATAATCAAAACAAATTCTTTCTACTTGCCCTCAAGTATGCACTTTACATTTACTTATAGAAGTTGAATAATAATAAATTTATATATAAAAAGATAACTATATATAAACTTGTAAAAACTTATTTAATAAACAGGTGTAATAATACATTACACCTACTAGTAATAAATAATTTATTTAGAATTGTATTTATTATTAATAAAGTTCTACTTGTTTATTTAAGGAAAAGACATTTTTTTCAGATTTACATAAATTCAAAAAACATATATAATTAAATATTCTTAGTATGAATTACTATTAAATGATGAAATTTCGTCCTTTTTCTCTTTGTACAACATCCATTAATTTGTAAATATTTTCTGTTAGCTTTTTATCAAAACCCTAAAACATATAAACTTAAATTAAACCACATATTAAGTTTAGACGATAGTATTTTTATATTAACCTCAATTTTGATTGCTAGTAATCCTTCTCCACTCAAACATATCTTTTGTTGGTACTGAATCATTAGTTCTACAACTTTGATAACATTTTCACTGAAACGATTATCTAAAAAGACAGTTTATTTAAAACATTTTTTTTTTTTAATTATCTAAATGTCTAGATTCAACATTTACATGAAATGTTCAAATAAACTATTTTAAAATTGCCCAAACAAGTCAAATCTGACCCGTTTTTTAATAGTTTTCCGGTTAAGTACGGATGTGTCTGTTTTTCCAGTATATTTTCTGCTTTTTCTTTCAAATTTTCAGCTAAAATTAAAAAAATTTGTTATGCAAACCTCATTTTAACCTGTAAGTACACATACAAGTTCTAAATATTTTGTTATGATCTTGAATATCAAGATTAGAAACGTTATGTTGCACGTTATCCAAATGGTTTTCTGGTGTTGTTAGACTTAATATGTCCATCTGAAAATAAATTGATCTTTAAACATAATTTTCTCAAAACTCCTAAATCACTGTTTATTTTCATTAAAACATTTCGGTTAAACAAAAAAAAAGTATTTAACCAATAGACTAACAAATTTTCATCGTATGCTAAGGAAGAGTTTTCAATGTAAGAAATAAAAATTCAACTAGTTGATGGAACAATAATTTGTTAAAAATAAAGTTACAGTAAAAAAAATAGGTACATTTGGGTTTGATCGATAACAGTATTTCTAATTTAAAAAAAAATTGTAGTTCCAACGATAAACAACACTTTTCATTAGGAAATACATTTTAAGCCTTAAATTGGCAAAAATTGAGACCAATAAAAGATATTTTTTTAACTATTTGGATTATTATGAAACTTAATTAAAAAATGTTTTCCCGTCTTTTTTCGACATACTTAAAACACCAGGTCCTGTAGCCAGACAATATATTTTATATTATCACCTATACAATATACTCACGGAAAAACTCACTTTTCCTAATTTTATATGTATAAAAAAGCAAAAATAAAAAATAGGTATTGAACAATGAAACCATTAGTTTTTTCGACGAAGGCTTAGCTCATAGGAAGATTGATTGAAATACAACTATATAAGTGCGCAGTAATATCCATATACCATTTTAACAAACATAGAACAAATATATTGTTTATTGCCTGTATTGCTTTAATAAATAGCCGTACTAGGTACTCTAGGATTCTAGTCCTGCGAAGTTCACGAGTATTTTTCCATCGCAATTCGTCTTCTGTAAGAGCAAATTTCGATAACACATTGACCAAGGCCAGTGCCCCTTCGTCCTTTATCGCATTTTTGGCCAACGATAAAATTCGCAAAGTTCTATTGGCCCGTAACACCTACAAATGACCGACCGGTGTTGTAATGTATTTAACCTAATATTTAATGACAGAGAAAATCAAAATGTAAAATTGTCTACAAATAACTATAACTGCTGAGTACTGTAATAGTGCATGGCAAGAATAAGAAATAGGCTATTAAAGGTACCTACCACACGAAATAACGATATCAAAGGGTAAAGAAATACTATTATTATTGTTAAACAGTGTAATGTTTTTTTTTTACTTGAGCCAGAGTCTTAACCCCAGCGCACGTGATACCATTACAATCCAAGTTGAGTAATTGCAACGTCCGAGTTTCGCCCTTGTCGCAAAAATCATCCCCTTGACACTGCAGGGTTTCCGAAATTCGATCTACTCCGGCGTCGCCTAGTCGGCAAAACCTTAACCATAGTTTCTTTACTCTAAAACAAACGATGGACGTACGTTAATATCGATAACTTTCAGCACAGTTGTGCTGAGACCGTTTCACATAATCGTTCTTGTGTTAGAGTTGAGGCTCAACTGTTGAGCAAAAAACAAAAAAACTTCTTTTTCCAAAACTTAGTAAAATGGACTTGGTAAAGTTGTGCTCATAGGTATCGATATGTTTTGTGAATTGTTTTTTGAGCAGAATCGAATGTAATGCAAGATAAGATGTACTTTTACAGTTTTATCTCAGCATTGCCTTGCTGTAACCCGGTGTAAACGTCCAACCCAAGGTAAAACGTACTTAAACACCAGATTTAATCAAATTTACGGAAGAGGTTCTATAATAGTTCCTCAGACCTCATCAAAAGGTGGTCAAAAATGAATATCGTTAGCACTCAGTCTTTGATATTTTCAATTTATATGACTTTTAACTTGTAAAAACTCAATCAGAGGCATATGCTCAGGAATTGCCAAATGATTGAATGAGAGTAATATTAATTATTATTTTAACACTATACTCTGTTCCACGAGAGACCTTATGTCTGCGCAGGCGCGTACCAGATTAATTTGTTTTGGTTTCTGCGCAAGCGTGGTTTTTTGAGGAACAAATTATAATTTTGGAAATTTTAAATCAAATTGTAGGCTGTAGATTTCGCTCAGGCATGTCTTATAGATGTTATAATAAACTGGAAATTCTACCTAGTAACAGGTGGTAAACAACACATGAAATTTTTTTTTGACAAATCAATACCGTCCAATGTTAGTTCATTGATTAAACATTCGTTTGTCATGAGGTGTAGTCCCAAATCACCCAACACTTCTTGATCTATGTTGCTATCTGTAAAACTATATTTTTAAAAATTGTATTAAACATTTTTATTTTTAAACTAAATCCTGCGTAGTACCTGTAAATATTAAATTGTAATTATCAATACTCATTTAGATAGGTATAAATTAAATTACAATTTGGTTCATAAGACGATCAATAATTGTATTATACGCTATTGCATTACCGCAATGATTACCGTAAATTAAACTAAATCAAAGCAATAACGGAATTTCCTTTTAACGCCAAATGTTGTTTGAATTTAAAATAGAAATCACAAGATGTTTTGAGACGGTATGAACTGAGTTTTATTTAATTTAAGATTAGATATATTTTTAATTTCTTACGTAAGTTTGCTTATGTTTTTTGGTATATTATTCCAAAAATGCATTGACACTGTGCAGTTGGCAGTCATTCCTATGATATTTATTATATTATAACAAATTGTATTATTTAATTTTAAATTTTAAAAATGTTTTAATTTAAATGTAAATTAACTTTGCCCCTTGTTTTTACCTTTAATAATCATTTCTTTAGGTACGCGTTTCGGTTCTTCTTTTTCTAATGGCGTTTCTTCTTTTGAAATTACATCACCTAATTCTGCTTTTTCTGTTTGGCTTAATATGCCCTTTGTAATATCACTTCTATAGAAGTCCTTACAAACCTGTTGCACGCAGAATCTAACCATATCGTCGTCAATTTCTGACATAAAACAGAAACTTATATATTAATATATGGATATGGATATGGATATGGGAATGAAAGAAAAAATTGATACAGCTATACAATCAAAATAAAAGTAAGGATTTAGCTTGCCGCCCAGCTTCTTTTATCTGAGAAAGGGGTGGCAAGTGACAACTAAAGTCCTTTTATATAGTCTGAGCGCAATTCAAACAAAAAAAAACTTATTGTTTTTTGTTGTTGTATACACGAAATACATATTTTCTTTATATAGTTATCGAATATTAAGTCGATTGTAGTGTAAAATAATACATATTCATTCAAAGCATTAATGTAAAATTTAATATATTCTATAGATGAAAAAATCACTTATTATATTATGACTTCTACGAGTCAATTATTTAAATACTTAAAAGGATTTTGAAAATATTAGGTATTATTGTATAAAACAAATGATACAGCAGTTTTATATTAAAGTTCATTGTTCATAGGTAAGTTATGAATTACTTAAATGAACAGGCACGCCTACAGTAGTCGTTGTAGGAATGTAACGTGTTATAAATTCGTCAGTCAACGCATTTTTTACTGTGTCGTATTTAGTATCTATTGTCAGCTATTATATTGTCTTGTTGGCTTTAAAAGTTTTCGTTTTCTATAGTTATAATAATAAATACAAATTGTATTTCGTAAAAAATTATCTTATGCAAATTTAAATTTAACAATATGGTTTGAGGCTTCCAAGAATAAAATATATCGCAAAAATATTCAAACCGAAAAAAATGTATTTTTTATACTATAAGATTTTGTTCTAATCCATTAAAAACATGTATTTTTCAATTTCCTTAATAATTTCGTACCTTAAACCTACTATTAATTTTAAACGGGAAATTAACAACTAATAATTATCGAACAAAATAGGTATTCGAATTACAGACACCCAAAGTTGTAATAAAAATAAAAATAAAGTTTAAGTATTCTTGATTAAAATAATCAAAGACCATTTTCACCAACCATACTCAAGTATTAAGGGTACTTAGGTATAAGATGAGTAAATGACATGCTTTTAAAGTTTCTATTTATCTACATAGAAAAATAATTTAAAAATATTACATAAATATACGTTATTCTAAATTCCAACGGCATTAACATAATAATGACATAGCTCCAAGGGGTTTCCTATTGTATTCCTTTACGTTGTAGTTCTTTTTAGCTAAATTCTATGCATTCGGACCCCGAACGTATTTTCTTGATATTTTTTGAAGTGTTGTATCGTGTGTGTGTGTGAGCATAGAGCTTTTCTTGTCCTCACGTCCTGGTGTGACCATATTGGTTTGGTGTGCTCAAAATAAAAAAAATAATATGTAAAGAAATATACTTTGCCGCCCACAAAATTATATCAACACCAACATTTGTGACCAAAATAATACACACACACAAGTACTTTGAGAAATCATTTTGACCTTGATTATCTTTCATCGATTGTCATTCTGGTGTTAGTGAATATATTGTAAAAAAATTGATGGTTTAAAAATAAAATATGCCGCGGCAGCTGCTGTGGCCTTGGTCACAATTTTAGATCAAAAGTTATTAATTTTAGTAACATAGATTGACAAACTGCGAAAACAATAACAATAATAATTGTAATCATATTTTGGTTAGTAATACTAGTAGGTTTTATTGATCAATGGTAATAATAGAGAAATAAAATCCGAGTATACTTTGGTATATTACTAACATTTTCTTAGTTAGTAATTACATATTGTAAATTGGGCGCCAAATTCACTCTTAGTGAAACTGCCAGCTTTAGTTAGTACCTGTTTGGCTGTTATTTAGCAGTTACAAGTCGTGTAAATATAGTGGTCTAATTGTCAGTCGTTTTAAGTACTTTTTCACGACATGGTAGTCCAAATATTTGGTGATATTAATAATAATTTATTATTAAAATAAAAAAAATATTATATTTTGAGCAGAAAATAAAATGGTATCTTAAATTATAAGTTTAAGCGCTAGCTGCTTAGAACGGCCGTACAATATTATGGAAAATAATAAACATTCGCTCGAATAAGATTACTTAGAGGAGTAATTACCGTTCTGGACATTTTTCTTACCATTAAGTAGAGTTTAGTCTGTTGTATCTGCGACCTTTGGCAGATGTTGAACACAAAGATGATGATGAAGAAGATAGGGGTTTTATTTAAAAAAAAAGAGAAAATACTTAATTTTAATACCGTTAAACTAAACAAACATTTTAAGCTTAACAGGAAGAACAACCATTTCTTTTTAGTTCTTAAAACGTTTTTTAAGTCATCGAAAAATTATGGTAATTTCATAAAATATCAAATTTTACATATATATATAATATGTATTACATATAATACTTTTTACTGCTTATATTAAATCTAAGTTTTCTTACAACGTTCAAGGCTATTTTCGACTAAAATTTTATATTGAGAATACAATTAAACAAAAAAAAAGAGATGAACCGAGTAAACGTCGGAATAATATTGAGATTAATGACTTCGTATATTGTACATTTACGTAATTGTAAAATTAGAGGTTGGTTTGTTTTTTTACTCTAAAAAGGTTAGCGTTTTTAATTAGATACCAAGTAAATTAATTTATAGCTTATAGATGACGTTTTTATCACTTGAAATTATGTGCCATAAACATTTGTTTATTTATATAGTTGACACTTGGCCCATTCGCAAACTAATTATACATAATTTTAATTATTATACCCATTGTGCCGTAATATTCAACGATAATCATATTTTAAGGGTAAGTACATAAATTACATGCACGCAAACATAGTTATAAAATACAGCCTAATGTTTATTTTACATTCATAGATTTTATTCGGTAGTGGCCGCTATTGGACTGTATATTAATTTTTAATAGTAGCGGTATTATGCTACGAGTGTTTTATCGATTTACCATTATTATATTATAGTAATGTTTGTTTAACCAAACGAATAACCAATGAGTGATTATGAAGATGCGTTGACCTTTACCGGACATACATGGCAATGTGTGATTTGTGAATGAATGAACGAACAAAACATAACATGCATTATTAATTTATATTATTTGGCTATCGATGAATAAAATATACAAACTTTATTTTACAATAATAATATTATTTTGAATACTTGGGGACATTTACGATGTGTCGTCGAGAACATAAATAATGTACCACGTTTCCACGTGTGATATTTTTTAAGTAATAATTATTTGGACGATTAAAATATTATTTAAGTAGCTTATAATAGTATTATAAGTGAAAAATGAATTTTTGTTTAAAATGTCTTTTGGATTCTAAACATGATTAAACGCATTTTATAGTACTTGGTATTTGACGTTACTTTGATTTAAATATTTTGTACAGCGCCTACGCCTGTGTTGTATTCATCATTATTATGACAGAGTTCGGACTCCAAATGGTTTGTTAAAAATCTATGTAAACTGTGAGCTACATTTTTATTTGAAAAATTAACATTTTTTACGGTAATAATATAATGTGTTAGGGCCAATAGCTGTGACTCGGATTAATTTGAGCTAGGACTCTTTCAATGACTATTATGCCTATAATATGTTTAATGATGATTAAAAAACCCTCGGAGTTCTGCTGTAATGGATGAAAAAAAATTAAAAATACAAAAACGCATCTATTTCAATTAATAAATTACTTCCGTTTGGCAATAATACGCCGTCTACACGTGGTTATCATAATTCACAGCTGTCGACTACTTCCACACATAATATATATTACTATCTATAATATCTTTTCAGACATTTCCAAAACATAAATATTAATTGTTGTACAACAATATTGTGTATTGACGGGTTAATATCGCAATGCCGTTGATGTCAAACAGCGAAGGATCCCGGCATCCCGCCTTGGTTATGGCGTGTTATTTATAGGGTGATGACGACGACTACATTGGAGATGACTGCCCTACAGGACGGAGAGTGCACACATGGGTCCCTAATACATCACAACAATGACGTATAGGCCTAAGGCATAGTCGCTATACTTACGTACAGTTTATAAAGGGTAGAATAATAATTGTAAAAAGCGAACAGTAGCCGCAGCCGACAGAAACATTTTTTTTTAAAAAAGGGGGTCTTACTCCCAAGTCCCAACACACATTCTGTACAGATGTTACTCTATTCTCTAGCGCAAGGTATTGCGGAATGGGGGAAAAAAGTCGTTTTTTTACCGAGGGATCTTCGTCCCAGCAGGTGGTGTCGTTTTACATGCACACGCGTGTCCATTTATTAGAAGAAGAAAAAAAACCGTCTGCCGAGAGGAATTAAGGTTCACCGAAACTTCATATTATCCCGCTATAGGACACCTTTAATACTTTGTAATTCTTCGATGAGGCATGTCTTCGCACCCCATTAGCTTTTGTTTTTTTAACGAATTTCGTAAAATATAATGTGACGAAGCAATTAAACGTCTGCTACAAAGTTGTTATATAAAAAAAACGAAGTCTCTTTTTTTTCCGACGAAACCTATACTATATACACAACCGAATCTCCGAATAATTATCACCTGCTTCCTTTCTGAAAATTGTACGCTTTGGCGACGTCCTTGGGCTTGAAATAACATGTACCTACTTAACAGAAACTGTCTCTGGACTCTTCCTCTGTCATAGTGGTGTAGCTCATACGTTGTGTATGTGCGTGAACGATTCGTTAAAAACGCACAATTACCAAGTTAAAATATTGGAACGGTCTGTAAATGAAACTGCCTATATAGTGGCGCAACCGTGATAGGTTCGGGGGGTGGAAAATACTATATATGTATAATATATAAATAAATAAAAGCTGTAAGCAAATTTTTAAAAAATTTTATTTTTATATTTTTGTATTATTTATAAATTATAAATCCGGAAAACCCAAAGTAAGCAGGGGCCGTTTCCCTGCTGGCCGCTCCCTTACCTCAAACAAACGGCTTTGGTAGAAGAAAATATTTAAAGTAGTTCGTAAAACAGTTTTAAGTAATTTTGGTTTATTAATAAATAACAAAATATTAATTTGGTAACACGTTTTCATAATATTATTCGGGTTTAATTTTCTGTTTTTTTTTATACAAATTTTGTACTTCACTTGGTAATGTATCTCAATTTATTTTTTTATCCCTTCTCGAGTAATTGTTCCCCTAATGCGACAAAAACGTCATTCTTGTTAGTTGTTACTGTAGATGACTAATGAGTCGACCTTCAATGAAAGTGTTTACCTACAGTTAATATATGTGTATCGAATATCATTCGTAAAACGACACTGTACAGAATTAATGACAGCTTTTTTCGTTTTGTATGTATTTGTAAATTGTAAAAACCCTATCCTACTAGTATGATATTACTGCAGTGGTGTATTTAGGAATTTTGTCTGAATTTTTCATATTTTCAAAGCCACGGAGAGCCAATTTCATCTTGTATTACTATATGTGAATATCAAAAAATTGTTATTACATTTAAAAACTGTACATTTTGAAGAAAGTTATTTATAATATTAATACTTGCTTTGGGGTTTGGCCGGTTCTAGCATTATCGTCAATAATTATTATTAATTTGCATTCATAACTTATTTTGATGATAATACTACAATGTCGCTGTTAAGATTGTACAACGAAAGTCGAAACTACTTTAACTCCGGCCAAACCGGAAACCCATATAATATAGTTTTCGGCCGAAACGTCTCCAGAGACCTACCTTTTATCATCCCCCTCCCCTCCGTGGGCCGTGGGTTGTTTCATATATTTTACTATTATTGTTTTGCGTTTCCTTTTGTTTGCACGCGGTAAGAAGTGAGGTTTGAGGCGGCACAACAGGAACTACACCGGCAACCGGCATAGACGGGGCAACGGAAGCGCAGCCAGCAGTCAGACCGTCGAATAACCACTAAGGCACTAACCCATTCATTCGGTGCAGTCGCTCGTTCGCGTCGTGTCGTCCGTTGCCCATTGTGTGTTGAGATACATAATTTTATTTTTAAACTACAAAATTACAATACTCCAATTTATGCTCTGCTATACTTTCGCTGTTTTTTTTTTTTTCCAAAAAACGAAATTTTTTCTCGGATGTGCGCGCCAATTTTGTGTTGACGTGAAAACGTTAAAATATTGTTGTCAATATATTATTACAATAATGGACCTCTGAGCTTTGGAAAAAATAACCCGATTTGGTCTGATATAAAACGCTCCAGGAATCACCATAGGATTATATTGTCGTAGTCTAGTAAGGTAATTGAAACGCGTGGTATAATAACAATTATTAACTAATTATATAATAACGCCAAATAATGTTTGGTAATTTTTTTTGTCGCTATTTTATAAAAAAAAAATGATGAGCTGTGAGAAATTTAAATCAAACCTAACGTCTTATCTCTTTCTCGTGGTCGTTTTCGATAGTAATACCGGTGCCGGTCGCATTAGAGAGTAACTATAACTAATTATTTAGAGATTCCTCAAACATTAAAAATCAAAATATATGTAGACATTAATTTAATTGGTTTACTCCAGTCAATTTATTGTAAAATGAAAAAAATAATGAACGATATATCTTAGTCGGTGAGCGACAAGAAATATAAATTAATAAACAATAATATGATTAATCATAATAACAATAAATTGTGAATTGGACCAAAACTGGGAACGATAATCGAAATTAGTAGGTTAGTAAAATAATTAATATACTAAAAACAATAAACATTGAGAAACGTAAAAAAGAACACTTATCATATCCTATTGCGCTATCACAACAATATTAATAATAATAATTGAAAGTCAGCGTTTTTATACGAGTATTATTACGGTCGAGCACGTTGAGGTTCGTCACCTGTTAGGTCACATCTATTAGTATTTTTATTTTCATTCGTTCAACAAATTGATATTTTGTGACAATAGTCAATAATATGTTGTTTTTAGCACTGTGCGATAGGTCCGAATTGTTAAATAATAATAATAATAACAAGGAGACTGTTGTATACACTTTACAGTTAATATTATGTTAGTAAAGTGTTACATAAAGATTATTCACCAGCTCAGCTGTGGAGTATCAAAAGGATAAACTTATTTAGAAAAACTGTATTTTGATTTATCATTTCCTGTTGTAATCCTCGTTAATCTCTTTAAAACCGAATGTTTTATTTCATCGCAAGTTACACGTTTTCGAGTAGGGAATATTTTACAAGTAAAGGGTTAGGTACCTTACCTACCTAACATAATTTATATTAAACAAGTTATTTATATTTTTAAGTGATTTATGCTTTACGGGACAGTCGTGTTTTAAGTTGTTTTGTTCCGAGTAAAAGAATAATAACAATATTCAAAAAAGGTTTATCGAGATACGATTTAAAAATTGAAAGTCATCGCATGCAATTTACATAAATGATATTCTCTAGGAGTTACCTATATTTATATATTGTGACGTATAAATAGGAATAATAATATAACATTAAGAATCCTAAGTTTGTTGTTGTTAAAATAATTTGCATGAATTAATACATAATATTTAAAAAAATATGTGTTTTGTGGTCACTTGATAATACAATTGTTATTAATGTTTTGACTAAACATAACAATTTATTGCGATTGAATAGTGTTGTAAACAAGAATATGTATTTATGTACATTATGTCAACCACATAGTTATCTCTATTATTATTGTTAATAAACAGACTTCAATGAAATAAATCATTAAAATAGTACTGATATTAGGACGTCAAAGGAAATCAGATAATTTAGATATATATTTATTATTGATGCACACTTTACCTATTATAATATAAATACACATTTACATTTATACACACACACACACGACTAAATTAATTCAAGGCTTACCCGGCATTATGGGTCCGTCGGTTTCTCTTGGCGACAAGTTAGGTTAGTGATCTTTTGGCTTTGTCAATACCGCAACGAAATTTGATTAGTGAGAAAATATTCACCTGTATAGTCGGGTTATTTAAAGTAACAATTGCCATAGTAATTTGTGTATTATTGTTATTATTATTAATTGATAAAGTAGTATAACAATTAAACGAAAATCAGCCGTGTTTAACTAAATAATAACAGAACGGTGCGTGTATACAAAACTAACGCAATAGCTGTAGATAAGTAATCGCGATTAGTTTTTATCAGTTAATAAATTGTAATTTGTTTTATAAATTGAGTATAGCTGAACTGAGATAATCGTGAAGTCCGCAGTTTATTATGCGTATGTTGGATGAAGTCGCATATTTATATACTTATAATAATAGTACCAGTTATTGTTTGTACAGCATAGTTATAATACAAAATAGGTATATTGTTTTTAAACCGACACAAGAATACACATGACACTACTATTTTCTATTTTAAAACTGTCCTAAAAATAATTGTATATTTGACGTTTTTAATTAGTCTTCGTGTACGATGTATGTACATGTGTATAACAAATGTATTTTCTAATACCGCTTATTAAGGTAAAACTACTAATTATACTGGTCCGCGCATCGATGAAAGAGAGAGTATATCTCATATAAGAATATAAATTGAGATCGAAACTTGTTATCACTTCAGCGATAACAGTACAGAGTACAGTACACCTTGCAACTTATGCTGTGATTTTAATGAGTTTTGTTAAACTATGTATATTATTTTGCTTATAATTCGTAATTAGTAATTGTGACTTTGATTCGTTTAATAAAGCTATTTAATTAATACATTTTTCATTATAATTAGAATATGGAAAAACTATAGGCGATACTACCAAATTCGATGTTTTAACTTCTTTAAGCTAATTTTAACATATTAGAATTACTTATAGACGAAATGGAATTATTATCCGAACAAATACAATGATCCATAACTATCAGTTTACATACATGTGAATAAAACTGATTAACATCGAAATGTCTGTATATATTGTAGACTGTAGTCGTTTTTAGTGATTTTATCTAATGCATTATTATAATTTGATCACGTTTTGCAAATTATAAACGTTTTATAGCATTTTCCCCTCACCATACTGGGATCAGATAACCTCGACAGAAAATATTGACTCTTGCGTTATCTAAACTCGGGATGCCACCCACAGTTATAGAGTATAGACCTGTGTATATATAAATATTATATATAGTAACACACCCTCTTCATTCACCACCCTCTTATTTTACCATAACATTCGACACACTACCGCAAAACCGAATGTCAAAAATAGGTGTGCTATCGTCGTCGCCCTCATATTTTTAAACGACTGCAGTGTATATATAAAAAAAAAATGTAATAATAATTCATTACACGAATCTCTGTGACTCATCACACGAAGTCACCCTATGCGTTCACCCAAACCTCAAGTTCCGAGGTCAAACCTTCATTCATTATAACCAACATTACTATACAGATAAGTACAACCATCAGACGAGCAGGTAGTAATTTCATGCGGTGTTTCGGTATTGTCTTTATGCTACAAACGAAAATAATTATAGTTCACATGATTTTGGAATGAATCCATATGGTTCCCAAACATGAGTTTATTATTCATCCAACAAGCGTCGTATGGGAGAATACATGTATATGTACAAAGCACAGGGTATTTTTAGAAAATACCAAACGGAAGCTCAAAATGTTGTCGAACCATAACCTCTAGACGTGCTTCATAATAATAATTATATTATTAATCAGTGACGACCAATACTACCACCGACTGATGACTACTCTCGTTTTCTGATATTTTAAATGGCCAATAGTTTTTCGTTGAAAATTTGTATAAATTAATTAAACAACGTGTTAAAAAGTCTCAATCAAACTTCCTCTTCAGTACCGTATTTTGGAATAGTTTTTTGTGGGGTGGGGGGGGGGGTGTCCAGTCTGTTCAGGCAATATTTTATCTATTTTTTTTATGTTTTATCATTTCTTCCGTTTCAGATATTTTTATATAATTACACTGCAATGTTTGTTTGTTGTATCGTTAACTGTTGTAACTTGTAACCCGTAAGTGAATATGTTTATGTTTTAGAGAATGTCATTATTTTAGTGTGCATTTACAATCTATTCAGTGTACATTCGATACTTAACAATTATTACAGTGGTTTGTTTTTCGTACGCGACCATCAAAAACGAAAAATGGCCAACAGGAAGTCGACCGTAACGCGTTTAGAATTATTGTTTTATTTCACCATTATTACACCCTCGCGCCGAGTAAATTAATATTTTATATGGTATCTATACTATATTATACGAACTACATAATAACGTTATTAGGTAGGTATTATGTGTAGGTATATTTATTATTCTATGAAAGAAAATTCGTGGTATAGTAGCATCATGCATACCCGTTAATTTGATATTCTGGGAGACGGCACGCTGTGCATATAATATTAGGTATATATTATATACTGTGGGTTCTCGATAAACTCAACAAAAAGAAACAATCCTTAAAGAGCAATAATAAGAACAATGTAAAAATACTTTTAATAACGCCGTTTATAAATATTCTAATAAAGCAATTTTTTATTGTTGTGATTTTATGTATAAAGATATAATATGGTCTTCATTAATCTGGTAAACAAACACTATGGTACGTTGAGCAGTAAGCGCATTGTGTACTGTGTATAACATCTGTTTTGATGTATTAATTTAACTGTCATCGCTTTTGCACAAGTATTCGATCTCAACGAAATCCCGTGGGCGGTTTATTTTTTTCATTGAAACATTTTTTTTATTATGTTTTTTTTTTACATGCTCCGGTGTTATATAATATAAACTGTACATTTTGAGAGATAGTTTTAAAACCATTCGTTTGTAAGAAGGCACTTTACTTTAATTTTATTCGAGTTTCTCTTGAGAACAATAAATTAGTAATTACCGTTTATTACATAAAAAAATTGCCGACAGAGTTTGAAGTAATGAGAACCAATAGGGTACATGACTAAACCAAGTTTTTGATCATAAAATATTTATCAATCAACACTTTTCTACAGAGACGTCGTAGGCTATGCAGAAGCCCTTGGGCACACATAGTTTAGAGGCCCTTTAAGAAAAAAAATTTTAAAATGTAAATTGTATTATTCGCTGCTTCCTTCAGGCAGGGACCCTGGGCCCCTGTCCCACGTGCCCTTAGGATAAAGATGGAACTGTTTTTCTATCTGTATTCGTTTTACAATTGTTTATCTTTTTCTGAAAGAGATATTGAAAAAAAAATAGTGAACGCCGCACACAAATAGAACACATCAAAAAAAAAATTTCCATTTTGATTTTTTGTAAAATTGTATAAAAATCAGTTTACCCTTTTTGTTTTCGTCACTCAGTTAATAATGACTGCGAAAAAAATGTTGATGCATCTATTTAATAGTGCTCGGAATTTTCAGCTTCAATGAAAATTTGTATTTTATATGACAATTATGTGGTTTTTTTTAAATTAGTCACCACACAATTTATTTAAAGTACGTGAACGATTCGTACACACCCATAAGCCGAATACTTTTAAATATAATTATACTTCTATTTTTTTTTATGGGCATACAAAAGCGAAAGCGGTATATGATGTCTGAGAAATTAGCTATCCGCTGGACATGCAGACGAGTGGGGAGGCATTTAATTTAAATTACTACACATTTTGAACAGCATGATATAATATATTATATCACTAATGTCTTTAAAAATTGCTTTGTATTTATAACCGTTTTTTACTTATCATATATTTTGTAACTAAGACTTGTCTTGTATAAAATATAGTTTAAATTTTACTCATTAACTAGCTAATACTTTTTGTAAATTAATCGTTTAGAATTTAGATTATTAATATTTGTCATTGTAGGATAGTCAAATTATTGTAGGACTGTCAAAAATTGTAATAATTTTTGTACTATAAAATCGTGGTTGTCCAATTTTCTAAAAAAAACTAGTATACAGTCTACATAAAATCATAATGGTTGGCTAATTCTAAATAGTTTTATAATTTGTATGTTAAAGACATGCTAAAACAGGTGACAAAAGAAAACCTGGGTAAACTATTGGTATTCTAAACTTCTGTTGGTACTTTTAAACATTGATACATCGAAATTTCAAACGCAGACCACAAAGATCCTACAAGAAAATTCAGTTTTAAAATGCAGTTTTAATTTATTATTATAATAGGCCTGTCCAACAGACCCATGAAAAAATAAAAGTTAAATTATTAGACCGTAAGTTCTACGCCTTAAAAACTGCATTATAAAATTAATTACCCTTTTTCGCAAAGTCAAAGCATATAACAGTTTAATTTTTTAAATATTTACCAAAGTGGTAAATATTACCACAAAGAGGAGGAGTGCACTTTTAAATATTACACCTCGACACAAAGCTCTTTTCCTCTATGGGTGTTGTTTGATGAACTTTTCCTAACTATGTGTGGTCTATTTTTTTTACTCGTTACATCGTTATCTCTATATTTAACCCCGAAATAAGGTGTCTGGCGAGATGTTTCCGACAATGACGTACACCAAGTAATACACATATGTATATATTGTATACATACACAACTATTAACTGTCGTTGCTGTAGCTGTGCGTTTTACCGTAAAATATAATATATATCTGTTTTCGTCCAAATTCCAACAAAGATAGAAAGCTATTTTAGTCTTTCGTATATAATTGATAAAATCAATGTTATACCGAAAAGTCGGTTAATTATATATTGATTTATATCAAACGTGCAATATAGAAGTATCTTAAGTTGCAGTTGAGATTAAACGCAATGCACAATATGGCAGTCTCGGGCTGCATAATATTATCCCAATGATTATCTGATTGCTGGAAATAGAAAATATTCATAAGTTTTAATTTATATTTAATTAACATTACCCAAAAGACGTTTTCATATTAGAAGTAGATGTCGAAAATATTTTCTGTTTCCATAATATTATTAAAAATGAACACTTTTATCTTCGTCCTATGTTTATGGAGTGTAAGAATAGAATTCTGTGATTATATTGAATATAATTTGGATAAGAGACACATGGCCTTATAATGAGGTTAATTTATAGTACTCGAGCACCGACAGAAATGTGTGTTAGACGGGGAAGAGATTTGAGTGGACGGAGAGGAGATGGTGACTGATTGAGAAGTATTTTTGAAAGTGAGGATTAGGGTGGCTGACTTCACATGTGTGGGATTATAATATGTAGAAAATGAGGTATTAACAATAAACACTGTACTACCTCAGGATTTATGAGAATAACAATATTTCATGTGGGCCTATATGTGTTATGAATACTTAATAAAAAAATGGTGCTAATAAAATGAATGATCGGAGTATTTTTATTATTTCTATTATGGTTTCAAAAAGTTCATGGGGGTATATAGTAGCTATAGAACCCATTGTAATGTTCCCTCGTGATCCATTTTTTCTGATTACAATTCTCCCCTATACATTCGAAATAATGGTAATGTAGTTTTCTTGACTTTTTTTTATTGCCATCCAACGATCCCCTCTTCGCTTCACTATTTCACAGACTATTTTCTCCCCAATCCCAGTATTTCTACATTGTGTTCCATGATTATTTTTCTGACATACGAGTTCCATTTTCCAAATCGAGCAATATTCTTATAATTATTGTTGTCGTGTATTTCCGCTAATGGATTTCATGTTTAAATTGATATCCCCCTCACAACTTATAATTAATTACCAAGACAGAATGCTTGCAAATAGAATTGTATAAAAATAACAGCTAAGGTCACATAAATTAATAACAAAGTAAAGTATTAATTCAAACGTATAGGATTACTACATACTTACCAGTAAAATTATTGTATGTACTGCATTGGTCGTGAGAGTGTAATTTATAAATTCTATTTATAAGATCTATTATTTAATTGTTCATTTTATACCATATAGTAAAATACTAACAAATTTGTTTTCGAATATGTAATTTTGTTTTTTGTTTGTTTGTAGATCGAAAGGATGTACTTCATTCTGACTGCCAAAAGTCTGTTATGGGTTGTTTTGAGTTTGGTATCCACTTGTTCGCTTTTCACGGCCATTTATTCGCCACAATGGCTGGTCGGCCCTACCGATTACGAATGTCCTTCGTCTAAAGTACTGGAGTTGAGTAAGTCGACTGTCTTGTACCTACTTATTAGTTTTCACTATTAACACGGATCGTGTAATGTACCTGTATATTAATCGTGCCTAAAACATAGAAAATGAAACCGAGCTGTACGATGTTCGCTGCCGGCCTTCGGTGGGCATATACTACAGATGTAAGAAAATCAATGGAGACCAGCACTGTGGTTCTTTTGCCGTTGACGGGTTAGCCACCGACTCGTACATGTTTCCTACACCCTGGAAGATCGCCATTGTTCTGATGTCGGCCGGTGTTTTTATCAGCTTTGTCATGTCCGTTATGGCCGTCTGCAGTTTTTGCAAACAGTCCATTCGCAGAAAAAGCGTATTCGGATTAGCCGGGTCCGGCCAAGGACTTTCGGGTACCTATATATACTTGGATTTAGATCTGTTAAAAACGTTATAATATGTTTTTTGTCGATCAAGTGTTTTCACAATCCTATCGTTTCCAGGTCTGCTCTACATGATGGGAGTAATTTGTTTTGCGGCCGGATGGGGTTCAGAACGCGTGGTCATGCTGTGTGGAACTCAAGCTGAGCCTTTCGTTTCGGCAAATTGCGTAATGGGTGCGTATTAAAACTTATCTTCTAAAACAATTTGAACGTTATTATTATTAAAATAAAAAATGTAATTTGCTCTCTTGAACAATTTCAATTTTGTGACTTATAACAAGTGTACACTAAGCCATCCATATTATGCGAGTTATGATCCGCATGACGTGGTAATTGTTAAATTAAAAAATAACATTTTCTGTGCGTTTGTTTTTTTTTCAACAGGTTCGGGTTTGTACACAGCAGCTTTCGGAATCGTCTTGACTTTCGCTACGGCCATGTTGTCTGGACCGGCGGACCGAGCGACGTCCAGCGACAAAGTGGCATTACACTTGGAACAAGGAGAAAACGTTGTGTTTCTATTGTAAATCACATACGTACCTACCACTCTGTGTATTCTTATATGTGGCAACTGCTGTCGATTTACAATAATTGATTGTTCAATTTAGAAATCCCAATAATACCTACCTGTATGTATATAAATAGTGTGGCGTGTTCGTGACAACTAATATTTTATAAGTTGCTTTATTTTTATTTATATAGATATACCTATACTTAGATATTGTTATTTAATATTTGTTTTTATATATTATTTTTATTATTATTTAATATGCAGTACAAACAGTCCAAAAACAATAATTATTGTAGAGCAAGGCCAATTATTATTATTAATTTGATTTTTTTTTAAGGATTCACGCCATTTTATTCTAGCTGTACCTACCTATCGACGTATTTTATCCGCGTATTATTTTTAGGCACGAATAGTTACAATAACGGAGAAGGGAAAAGGTTTGATTTGATCGAATACAGCAACAACTTAAGTAAAGTATTTTAAATTCATGCGAAGGCTGATGCGTTGACCTCGTGTAGATACACAATACAGATATACCATATGGTCTATATTTTGTGCCTACGCCATTAAACAATTATTATACTTACCGATTTAGAGGTAGTCCGTAGTCTCTAGTAGACTAGTTTAATGTGAAAACGATAAAATTACTTATTACAAAGTTTTTGTGCAAGTCTGTGATAATTTATCTTACACATTTTGTAAATGCATATTTATAAAATCACAGAATTGCTGCATAAAATAATTTCCATAATAAACGTAATTTTATCGTTTTCGCAATAATTTAGAATCTACTTATTATTAATATATATATATAAATACCTACTCCAAAATCAGCTTTTAACTGCTTGATTCTAAATTAATAGTTGTAACTTATAATTTATTTCATATCATGTTTTTGAATGAGTATTGTTACATTTATCTTAATACAATTTAGTAATAATTTATGGCCTATTTGCACGGTTCAAAACTATTATAACACCTACTTATTACATTCTAATATATATTTTATTCTGTACTTACAACTCATCAGAGATTTATATCAAGTTAATACTTATGTACATGTTAAAGCTCGACATTAAATTTATTTTTTCAGTGTAATATCATTGCTCAGAAACGAGAATCTTTTTTATATTAATTTTTTATACTTATACCTTGTATTTTTAACCATTTTCCGAAAGCTTTACTGATGTTTTTAAATATTATTTATTTGCTGTGTATAGAGTAATAAAATCTTGTTTTTAAAAACTCCTATACTTGAAAAAAAATATATGTATATATAATATATTTCATGTTTTTTTTTATTTTTTCCTCTGCAACATTTAAAAATATTTTTTAATGTTTTTAGCGTCAGTTTTAGACATTAAAATAACCTAGAATTACAGCCAGCATTTAAGTATAACTTTCTATTAGCAGTATTTGGACACAAAAAAAAATTATTTGGAGAATTATAAAATATAAGGTTTAATACTACTTTCAAAATAAAATTGCTAACAAAATATTAGTTATATCTGTCAGTTAAGGGTTAGAAAAAAACATTTCATTTTTTTTGTTATGTTAACAAATGATTACAAAAATTATATAGGAATTACAATTCTTTTTTATTACAGTATAGTTCAATATTATATTGTTTATCAGAAAAAATATAACAAATTGAATGAAATACATTTTTTCTCACAATGAAACACAAAATGCTTACGCGCTAAAATATATATGACAAAAGATATATTATTAATATAAATAAATATCTCTATTGTCACTATAAAAACAATTGGTACTATTATTAAGTTTAAAATGTCTTTACTATTAACATAATTAATTATTAAGTGATACATTATACATAAAAAAAGCCAATTACTACAATTTTTTTTTTAAACAACTACAATTATATATTTGGCTAATAGATAGTAAAGCTATACCACGAATCCAATTAATATTAATATTAATATTCATTACGTAATATAAAATAAAAAGTTACTATTACATTTGAATGGAAATAATATAACCAATAGTTATATATGAATTACTCATTAATGAGTAATACTACTTATAGAATTTTTACAAGTACAACAAAATAATAAAAGTTTTTATGTAAAGCTAATAGAACCACAAAGAAATCGGGGAAACCCTTATAGACTAGCACTTATAATTTACCTATCACAGAAAATTAATTTGTTTTTTTTTTTGTTATATTATTTACATTATACAGTGATGAAAATTGTCGGTCAATGTAGAATAATTTGGCAAGGTAATGTACATTCTTTTAATATTTGGTAGTTGCTTATTTGTGCTTTTTATTTGGCAAAGAATACAAATTAAAACAATTAATTACATAGCACACATATTGTTGTTTAAAAATAATCCACTAGTCCTTATTGTTTAAAAACTGTTATTGTTAACTGAACATATTATTTTAATTTAACAAGTATATTCTGTAAGGGTACACAAGCGTGTACTATGTAATGTATGATTACATTACAAAGACATAAGTACTTTTACTAATTGTTTTAAACGCTTTTTAAATATTTTAAAACGTAATTTTATGTATCTTGGTTCGAGCATTGATCACATACTCGAACGGGATTTGGCCAACCTCTGTGTGGAACAGGTTTTCTATGGCTAGAACAACTCGCACATACGCCGTTACCACAACCTCGGCAATGGTGTAGTATCAATAATGGCCCAAACTCTGCTTTACACACACAACAATCTAATGCTTCGCTGTCGGGTATCCAATACGACGGTCTAGCTGTGTCTTTGATTAAATCTAAAATAAAGTCATACAATTTTATAATGGCTACAACACAGAAGAAAACAAGGTCTTTACTTTTTGGATATTCGAGAACAGAAGCAACTGAAGATAATGTGTTCACCACGGCTTCACTAAACTTTCTAGCACTTACAATGTTTTCTTCTCCACGACTTGACGAGTCTGAACAGTTGCTACTTACGCTTCCTGTTCGTACAAAATAAGTTGGGTTATAATTTTCATTTGGCAGCTAATAAAAGTGCTGTCACATTATTACAATTTACTAACCAGATCGTTTATAACAAAAGTTACAGACTCGTACAGGCGTATCCCAGCCTCTATCTGGCACACACATAGATCGTTTAGAACACTCATCGCAGACTCCTTCTCCACAAGCACGGCAATGATGTTTGACGGAGGTTGAGGAAAATTGTAATTTACAAACTATGCATTCCTGAAAAAAAAAATGTTATTTTTCACTTAATAAACTTAATATAAACTTTTGGTTTTGACATATTTCTATACCTTAATTTCTGCATTAGGCTTCCAATATTTTGGTGCAAATTGATCAGCAACCCAAGAAGACAACAAGCGTGAAGGTTCATAACTAACACTGGCAACGGTTTCTGATAAATATGTTACACCATCTAATACTTTTCTAGCAGGATTCATGCTCGAAGACGATTTCAAATCCATCTAGACACAAATTTATGGTATAAACCATAATATTATATTAATCACATAAAATAAAAGATAATATGTAAAAACAAATATTATTGTTAGATGTTAGAAAATATTATGTAATCGTTTATTTTGACCTAGAGAAGTGTTACCTGGCAAATACATCAGTATTAAACTAGTGCATAACACACCTTCATTATTTCCTAACTGTTAAACATATTGTCAACAAATATAACTCAAGTATACTTTTTAAATTGCTTTTAAGGATAACTTTTCGTTTAAAGTTCTGTTTTTAAAATAAAAACCATAATTTATTTTACCTAGTTGACTTTTAATTTTGTGTTTAAAAAGACTCGATTAATTGTATTCATCTCCAAGACGTGTAACCATATTTAAAATATTTATTTTTATTAGGTAGGAAACAACTTACGCCAGGCCAAATATGTCGAGTTTCTGAATAAACAGCGGTTCTTTCTGGATCATCGTTGCCATACCAGTATTGTTTACTTCGATATATAATTCCACACTTTGGACACTCGATAATGTATCTAAATCATACAGTGTTGAATACATTTTTATTTATCGATGTACTTATAGTGAAACTCACCCAGAGAAAGCGTATTTTAACCACGAGTTTTGGTTATCATTTATGTATTTAGATGTAACTTCAACAGGATTTCCATTATCCGCACAAACTTTACATATGTGAACAGAGTTTTCGAATTGAGACTGAAACCTAAAAGAACACAATTTTTGAAGTTTGAAGATTTTTTAGAAAAACTATCAATATATCATATATTTAAACATGATGAATCAACATTCACCTGCATTTGGAATTATTAAAATGAGGAATGTTATCTTTTAAGTGTCCAACACTATTTGTACAACGTTGCTCACAAGACTGGCATATGGTTGGACATGTTAAGTGCTGATCCGGGAATAGAGGTTCAACTGAATTTTTGATAACACCAGTAAATTTATCATTTAATGCCTACAAATAACGGCTATGTTAATACATTTTTTTACTAAGAAGTATAAAATTAGTTTTTTTTTAATTTACCTTTAACGTGAGATACACAATTTGAGGGGATCGTTGAGGTCTAGCAGAGTTATTAGAAATTTCTTCGTGGATCACCTCTCTAATTGGCCCAAAATCTGTAGGTGGAACGATAGTTTGGATACCTATGTAACGTAATGAAGCAAAGCCGTCGACATCAAGCTGCAATTCATGAAATCTATCTTGTATTTGTTCCGAGGCGTTTTTACCGTTACCTTATAGAATAATAATAAAAAAAAATTACTATTACATTCACAGATTAAGCTACATAATAATTTATTTTACACACAAGATATAAGAGGTTCAGTATTTCTAGTTTCATGAAATATGATCAACGAAGGACCTAGCATAGAATCGGTACATTTGAATGGGTCGACAGAACGATAGTTAACAGCATTCAAAGCCTTTTTAAAATGCTTAATGTACGCCTTGGACGCCGATCCAAGGAAATTGAACATGTCATCTTGCAAACGTTCGCCTTTTACTCTATATATGACTATATCCGATATAGCTAAAACCTAAAAAAATAAATCAAGTTGAATAAAAGTTTAAATACACTATAATCAGTGTTTGGATTGGCCTCTAGAAACTTGTCACGTTCAATGCCAAAATAACAAATGCTTTCATTTTTTTTCTATCATCTGATATGTTATTTAGTTTATTAAGTTAATTCCTCTTTTAATGAACGCAATAACAAAATATTAAAAATTAAACACATTTTTTCCAAACACTCCTATAATTGAATGCTATAAATATGTGTACCTTGAGAAGCAGTCTAGTTCGCTGTTTGTTGTGTAAAGCCGACCCTGAAAAACCTTCTGTGTCCAAACATAATGTGTTCAAGGTTGGATCAAATGCGACCCAAACACCTACGGTACACGCCTTCTGTTCCGAAGATGTACGAAAAACTTCAGCTCCTCTAAAAAAGCACTGATTCAGTGTATGAGATTTTCCATCGCCCGTATTACCAAATATTGAAATGACCTTAACAGGACTATTATTCTTATAACCATTGAGACGTTTTACAAATGTTTCTACATTAGGTAGCTGGAAAGTAAAAAAAAAAACAATTTTATTGAGAATCTTAAACTAAAAAAAAAAATTAATTAATTACAAACCTTCAGCCTTTCTTTCTCATCTAAAAGTACAAAACTATGCGAATGGCCATCACCTTCTTCGTCACTATCGTTATAACCAGGATTCAGTTTTAATGATGTAAACTGTGATGTGATTGTAACATCGGGCAAACCAAAATCACTGTGAGTGGAAAGCGTATTGACTGGAGTCATGATGGCGGGTAATTTTGTTTGATTGTTTACATGGCCAAAGCGGCCATACAGCTTGTCCTCCATTGACAAGACATTTCTAAAGAGTTAAAAATATTATATAGATATGAGTACCTAGGTACTAAATCCTAAAGAATAAAAAAAAAATCATATTACTTCGTATTAAGAAACATTGTTTTTTTTTTTTACCTATAAACAATCATGGGTTAAAAATATCGCTACTAAAAAGTGAGTTGAGCGGATTATCCTACGATATAAACATGTTTTTGCGTTACTAATTATAATAATATGTTTACCTTATGAATGCATTTATTTAAAATGCACTTGCAGTCTTTTGAACAAGAGTATCGTGCGTTGAATTTAATTAGAGAGAACACATGATAATAAATAAAATACTTATCACTTACTAAGCACTTAATTTATTTAGAAGATCAATAATAAATCGACAAAGGAACAAAACAATTTTGTATTTAATAGAACAATGAAAATATAAGTTCTGCGTAAAAAAAGATTGTTATCAGTTTTTATCATGGTCGAATGCTATCAAAATATTATTAGCCTTGGTCGTATAATAATATTTATTCTATGGTAGAACTATTATCTTCTCATTAATGATAGCAATATATAATGATAACCGAATCCGAATGTAAACACTAAACATTAAACACGCTTGTCTCAAAACACTGCAGAGTCCAGTAATTATAACAGCTTTTAAGTTATTAAGTACACTGTACACAGGTCATAATATAATCTGTGGTTATTGTATAATTTAATATGTGTAATTATTTTTATAGTGAAACAACAAATATGCATTAAAAAAAAAAACCAATTGCTAACAAGTGCATTTTTTGCACTATGTCTATAAGCGTTAATGATATTTTTATCGGAGAAGTAAGTTTTTGAAATGTAGTAGGTACTACTAAATATTATGTACACACAAACATTATTATTATGTTAAAACAAGATAAAAGGTATACAGTACCTGCTACGGATTAATTGTATGTGTATATGATTTTGTGACATCAAGTCCACATCACACATGGGTATGTTACTTAAGCAAACAAGCCTAGCCATTTTATCTTCTACTAACTCTCAGCAAATGGAGAAGATGCCATAAGACTGAGCAAGCTAGTTAATTTTTTTAACTGATTATAGTTCAATTACTCAGAATTAAAAAAAAAATTACTTATTCACATAAGTTACCTTATACTTTCTACGCTAGTTAACTAATAAAACTAACTTTTCACTTTCTAACTAGATAGTGCCCAGTCTTGAAAGGTGGTTAGTTAATTTTAGTAATAATGTTCTACTATTATCATAGTAGCTTAGCCCAAAGAACAAATTATTATAACTATTAAAATTTAGGAACAGCTAGTTTTGTAACTTACAGCATAAAATAAGAATAAGTAAAAATTATTGTGTTTTTACGTTTGTATAATATATGCATTTGTTATTTGAGGTATATTTCAATTTTTTATAATCAAATCCAGTTATATAATATTTATTATTGTATTTTGTACGTTCAGTAAATTAAAACAATATTTGATCAAGGTGGCATCTGTCCAAAACTATGGAGCGTTTATTAGAATACCGGGAAATAAACAACAAGGTCTGGTACATCGTACTCAAATGTCTAGAGCGCCAGTGGATGACGCAACAGACGTATTGTCCAAAGGAGACAAAGTGTGGGCCAAAGTCATTGGAACGGTATAAATTAAGTTAAAAGTATTTCTATAGTGTTAAAAGCTTTAAACGAAAAAATCTTTGTTATAAATATTTAAACAAGAACATTATATAACTTTTCATTATGTCATTTGTTACATTTGAAGTATTTAGTTACAAACATTTGAGTAATTGTGTAATTTTTTATAGGACGATGGAAAAATTTCGTTGTCAATGAAATTAGTCGATCAAGGCAGTGGACGAGACTTGGATCCAAATGGAGTTCAAATGTTGTAAGTAATGAATTAAAAATAAATAAATAAAAATAAATTTTAATGTTTGAATATTATAATAATTAAGCCAAGATGAACAAAGAAGAAAAATTCAGCCAAACTCGAAAGGCAAGCGAACAATACAGCTTGACGCAGTGTACAATACAAAATGTGTAAAATGTGGAACTGGTGGACATTTAGCCAAGGATTGTTTTAAGGTATACCGTTAGCGTCTTACATACTTTTACTGTTTATTTTACTATTTAAAAATTGATTGCATTTTAATAGGGTCATTCTGGAAAAACTTATGATCTTTTACCAGAAGATGACGACAGTGACGACTTAAAAGTTGCATCGAATGTTGCCACAAAACCTGAATTAAAGACTGAAAGCAATGTGCCTATAAAATCTGAAAAAAAGAAAAAGAAAAAAAAGTCTAGCGACATAAAGAAGAAAAAGAAAAGAAAAAGGCATTCGTCAACTTCGTCATCAAGTGTAAGTAAAAAAACATGCTGTTAACATTCTTTTTTTGAAATGAATAATAATAAATATATCTATTTTGTTTTATTTAGAGTTCGAGTTCAGATGGCAGTTCGAAAAAAAAATCAAAAAAACACAAGAAAAAACGAAAACGGGAATAAATTGAAATTAAATGAAACCTACAAGTTTACACAAGAAAATTTAACTAATGTAAATAAATATTTAATTATAAAACAATCTACTAAAAAAATTTTTTTCCTAGTACGTTTGTTTGTATAATGATGTGTGGTTTTTTTTTATCTGAAGATTCCATAACTTTTTAAGTTTTTATATTGTTGTAATTGTAAGTTATGTTTATCTAATATTGTTTAGATACAAAGCCTTGATCAAACGATTTTCCAAAACATTTTTTTGGATCCAAACATAAGTGTGTATTTATGAAATATAACTTACATTTTTAACTGTTTTGTTTGTATTTTTCAAAGTATTATTTGAACTCGAAATTTTTAGCTGTACAAAAAATAAAAATATGACTTAAAAATAATTTACTAATTTGTTGTGTGAACGTCTTCACTCTTTTAAAGTTTTTTGATACCGTTATTATAAATATTCTATAAATACTAAGTGGGGAAATCTGCAAATTAATGTGTAATATGTCAGTTTCAAGCTCTTACAAGTTAGGTTAGGTTAGGACTACAAAATTGTTTTATAAAAATCGATCTCAAAAATCTAGTTACACTCTTGATCATGAATTTTTATTTATATTTTACAGTTTAACTGATACTGTTATTAGCTAAAATTGTTAAGTGTTGCGAAAACACGAAAAAAAATCTTTTACACGCATAAAAAAGGTATTATAGTGCCTTCTTAATGTACCATCAAAGTATATTTAATGTCCTATTGAAAGGTTGTACAAAGTAATTTTACCAATATATATATGTCATGTTATTGTGCTGTTGAATAGGATTTTATCCAAGTGCCTTTAGGCTATAGGTTATTTTATGGCCTGTCCATTACAATAATAGACAATCGAACGCCTAACTTAATATATTTTAGTCAGAATAAAATTAAAATAAAGCAGAGTTTTAACTTTTAATACTATTACGTTATTCACAATTTATTTATTTAAAAATTAAAAAATTAGATCATTTTTACATTTAATATACGATAGTGAATTTATTTTGGAAATAATTATGTAAAAAAAAATTGCAATGAAAAATATCTAGTTGAATAAGTATATTTAATATTTACATAATGAGCGAAAGTACATAATTAGTTATAGATAATACAATTATTAACAATAACATTTACATATGCAATTTTAATCGCACGTAACCTTCGTATACTTAAGTACTACATAGTAATAAAAACAAATTTCTAAACGTAGAAAATTACAAGCTAACATTGTACAGTGGCAACGATATTTATGGAGTGGTAATGGAGGGTGCTACTTATGTGTGATAGAAAAAATAAAACTATAGATTCATTATAAACCGTTACATTTGCATACATTTACATTTGTAAGAAAACCAAAATTAAAAATGTTTATTCGTTATTTAAATGAATATACCATAATAATTTAAACTGGACCAACGTATATTTTTTTATCGTTTTTTAGGACAAACGGTATTTTTAAACTACTATAATACAGATAAAAGTATTAAAAATGAAGAATTAAACAAAAACAATGTAAATTAATAAAAATTGCAAGTGTAGATTTTCAATCGAATGGAAGTAAATTTTTTTTTTTTTTTCGAAAATTATTAAAATATACTAAAGTCCCGTTTAATAGATTTTATTAAGTATTTATTCAGTTTTATTTTGAAATAATGTAGTTAGTATGGACCATCATAGTAGTAGGTATAGCATGTTTTTTTTCTATGAAACAATTGTATAATAACAATCTATATACAGTATACTACGTTATATAAGGCTTTGGGTTTTCTAACGGATCAAAAGCAGCTGGAATATAAATAATATATTTTAAAACATTAAATGTGAATTCGTGATTGGAATCTCGAGTAATAGCCGAGTCTAGTCTACTATTCCGATTCGTCGAAATAACTTCCCGGGCCTTCGTAGTCTTGTTCAAAGTACTTTCGCAGGTATTCCGGCCTCTCGTATTTCTGGTTTTTCGGCGATACTTCGTCCGATCCTGAATCGCCGGAGTACCGGTAGTCCTGGGCTGCGTCGGCCGATGGCGGCCATTCGAAATTGTCTTCGGACGCCGGAGTGGCCGGTTCGGGCGCAGCCGGGAAGCGCAGTGGCAAAGAATGGTATTGTTCGGGAGAAGCACTGCCGTAGTCACCGTGAGGCGTGGGCGCGTCACCGCCGTAACCGTAACCCGCGTAACCGGAGTCGTAATCACCGTAACTGCCGCCGCCTCCGTAATTGATTCCGGCCGGTGGATGGTAGTAAGTCGGATGCACGGCGGGCACCTGATGGTGGTAAGTCGGCGGTGCGACCGGCGGCTCGTAGTGGTGATGCTGTGGCGGAGATTCGTAGTGAGCGGGTTCGTAATGTTGTTGGGGAGCGGGTTCGTAATGTTGTTGGGGAGCAGGTTCGTAATGTTGTTGGGGCGCCGGTTCGTATTGGGTGGGCTGTGGTTGGTAGTGTTGGGGTGACGTATTGTGTTCGTAATGGGCAGGTTGTTGCTGGTAGTTTTGTCCGTGATAATGTGGCGCATAGCCACCGCCACCGCCACCGTGTTCCGGCCCGTTGTTGAGGTGATGCGTCACGGTGGTCGGATGGTTCGAGTGACCGATCTTCTTGACCACCGCCTGGAAACCGTTCTTCGAGTCGGCCGTATACTCAACAAGCCTAATGGAACCGTCGGGCTCCATCAGACTGTAGTAGCCCCTCACCGAGTCGCCGTCCCGTTCCTCGTACTGCTTTTTTATGTCGCCCGTGTGGGGGTCATGGACGCCGTACTCGAAACGGTATGCCGGATATGACTATACACATTTTGACAAAAAAAAAAAATTATTATATTGTTTATTAATTACAAGTGTATTAATATTGTTCAAATACAACTATTTATATGCATAATAATAATAATAGTAAAAATAATAACCGCATACTAATTATATTATAGGTTGTTTTGTTAGTTATCGACTATCGTTGTTCATTTGTTTAACAAATAATAATTAACACTGCATAAGCATACGTAGCTGAAGTATGGAGTATGACTCGGCTAGTTAATAATACATAAGAATCCAAGTGGAACGCGTTCATCAATTTATATATTTCTAGGTTTTTCTTTTAAAAAATTATTATTGATACAATAGATACACACTAGCCGTCATATAACTTTTTTTACCAAAAAAAAAAATAAATAGTTGAATCGCTTAAGCAAAAAGGGCCTAAGTTAACATTTGATCAAAAACGTGATTATTACAGATTTGTTATCACTTTACTTAGACGCAGCGATTCATGTTAAAACGGCTGTAGTCCCATTACTAGAACTTTCTAGTAATTGAACGGACTACCTATAAACCTGACTTACTATGTATTGCTTGTTGTTAAACATACGTGTTAACCTTATAATAACTACTAACTAATTTATTATATTTTTTTCTTTATCGTCTTACGCTTGTCCCGTAAAAGTATAAAAAGTTATTAAAATTATAATATTTCAGCAGCTTAAAATTATTTTCTATACAAGTTTAGATGTTTTCAAAAACGTTTATTGTATGTAAATGTTAACGTCATTAGTTGTCAAAGATTGTATTTTATTCGTGAATAACGATTTATTCGAAAAATGCATAAAACTGTAGTGTCATTCACTATAATCCCGATTGTATATTGGAGCCATAGCAAAATTCTTAAAGATATTTTCATTTATACATTTCGCGTTAAAAACTTCAGTTTTCCTTGGAATCCTGCTGAATACCCTGTCGGTAATATACATGATCTAATACCTGCACTAGCCAAAATAACGTAACATTATATGATCATGGCCATTCATCGACTTTAACACACAGACAACATTATAGGTATTATCTCGCAAACGTCGATTATCGTCAAATGGATGTCTGGTTTTTTTTTTGCACAGGCGGCGGACCTATCCAATAGAACCATTCATTATTTTGTTAGCCCGTGACCAATTGTAGGCTTTGGTTTAAAATGAAATATGTGTGTCAATATTTTAATCATTTTAAAAAAACGCCTCGAATGGTGTTAAATAGGAATTTCGGGTTTCATAACGGCACTACAGTTCAAAATAAACACAATAATATTGTTCATCGTGACGTGTTCAGTGTATGCAAACGGGTGCAATTTAAAATGTTAATGGATACGATATTTTAAACATCTAGACATTTCATAATAATGTATACAGATAAAATAAATACATTTCTTTTACATTATTCAAAAACAAATTGCTTAGCGCGTGCTTATAATATAATAAAAAAAAAAAAAAACGATTATTTCTAGTTTTATTTAAACGACTAGATGGCATATAACAATAAATATCTATCTATCTGTCTAGCTGACTAGCAATTTTTCGTTATTATATTTTTGTAACGACAATATGCAATAATTAATAGGTTCTATTTTTAGGGCTATTTTGAATCAAATCAAAATTCGTCAATCGTCAAAATATACAAGAACAGGCGAACGCAAACAGCCAACAATGGTGTGGTGAAACATTGCGATGCATTGAAATATCCGTAAAAATAAACATCAACACAATATTACATCTTTTGAACCGAGGCTAGAGTAAATTAAAGATAAATCTCAAGAAACACAAAATATTCTTTATGTAAAACGCACGATCAAGGTATTCAAACATCTTAATGCAATCTCACGCATTCAACTTATTGAATGTGTGACAAGGGTGGGAAAATGTTTTGTTAGGTCACTTTAATGTTATCGAGCCGATATATTATAATCATAAGCATGTGCGGCGTTAACTATGCGGAAAATTAGAATGGAAGCTAAAAATATAACTGAATTTTTGTCAGTGGAAGACCGAAGAGGGGTAGAATATAATATCTGTCGATCTACCCGTAAAAACGTTGTGCCTTAAAAAATACAATATTTTAATATTGAACATAAATGGGCCTTTATACAAACATTGTGAGTCCCTTACAACAGATTTTACAGGCCTTCACTGAATATATAAAATATGCAGCTGCATAACAGCGCGCACGCCTAAGAATTCAGTAGCGCATTTAAGGAAAACGGCTTTATCCACAACATAATAATCTTTTTTTTTTTAAAACATTTTGTTGACCATTTTAAATTTACCCACTGGATTGACCTGTATAAACTACAGTTCATCTCTAAATGTGAACTGTATGACCTTTGCAGCTTTACAAATGTGGTTTCAATAATTGTGTATGGAATAATGTGAATCGATGCAATTTATAGTTATAAATAAGGTATATCAAACAAAAATTGTTCAAATTCTGTCGTTTTAAAAGAACTCACAGGTGCTACGTTACCATGTTCCACCGACCACCTAACACGGGGCTGAAGTTCTGAAATGCCTGAAATGTTTGTATTACATCGCGAGACCAACCTACGTATAAATTTAACAAAGCGGAAAATACTTTAATTATAGAATCATCGGTTTTTTGCCTATAAAAAAACATCATTGGTTTCAATATTAAGTAATGCGTAGACGTGGTTCGTTTAGAGTAGTATTGTTTAATGATGCAATGTTTTGTGCGCAATTTTATCAAAAGCGTGTGATAGTAATGAAAATAATTAGAATATAAATTCGGAAATGTTACTATGATTGATTTCCGTCCAGTGTCCATTGCACGAAATGCGATTAATGTGAATAGTAGCTAATCGATTTTGAATAGGAACAACGCAATAGATTAAAAATAGGCATGTAACGCATGTGACACTTAACTAATACATTTAAAAATAGTAAAAAACATTTTAAAATTGAATAAAGAAAAATAGATTGAAACATTTATAATGTGTAAGTATAAACAATTATTAATTAGTTGTAATCTGTAGTTAAAGTTAAACGACTATACTAGCCCAATGCTTCGAGTGCAAAATAAATTTGATAAAAAATGTACATTTTTTCTTGTTTTATAAAAAAGAATAAATTAAATCACGTTAGCTCAATTCATTTACAATAACCTCAACCGATTGCAGTAATCCTAAAAATAATCTTAGTTTTCATAAAATATTATCAAAACAAATAAGAACTCGAAAAACAGCATCTATATTGTTTTTATTAGAAATAATTGTGTATATCACGCTCGTTTTCTGTATGTGAAATGACAATTAACCACGTACAGAATTATTTTGTTTTAATTTTATTATTAAATTTACAGTTGTCAGTTATTTTTTTCATATTGAAAGATTACATTATAATTATTATAATTTTTTTTTTAGTAATTTCTCGTTTTAAAATATTAAGTATTTTTTTAATTAATATATACCTAACTGAATTGAATTTATAACTCTATATTTTACCTACTACTTTTTAAATTTTCAATGTACTTACATATTGTTCATGGTCGTATTCGGGAGCGTAGTATCCGTTTTTGGATTCTTCTTTGGCTAGATCGCCAACTTTGTTATTATTGGTATTGCTGTTGAATCCGTGATAGGTGACTTCCACGTTTTCCGATACGCACCGTTTGTTCATAAACAGTCCAAACGCGAAAAACAATGCCTACATAAAAAAAAAACAGGTCGTTTTACATTAGGTATTATTATTATGTGATACTATTATGTTAGTGAGTAGATTTTTTTCCTGCATTCTATCCAAGTGTTTAATTAGTGGAATTCGTGCGCGGACACGATATCACGATAGACAACTATGTTGAAATCCAACAATAACCGAAATGGCATTGATCAATCAATTTATACATACACATACACATTTACGCGTGCATAGAAATTAACAGACGAAATACGCAATGCGCTGTGTTGAAAATTTTGCCGTTTCGGAAATATTATTATGTGTTATATTTTATAATATTAACGTTTCCTCATTAAAATCCGTATCGGCGAGCCGTGCCGGCAACCGCAGTGTTTTTACTTATTTTTATATTATATATTATGTTCGAATATATAATATATATATATAAAAAAAAGTATCATGATAATTTAATTAACGATAACTAACCCCTAAGGTCGACGATGGTCAATTATAGATTAATAACAGTTACGCTGAATTTGAATGGAAAAACTAATCGTCCGGGATTTGCCTTAAACCATAACCGATTGAATTACTTTAGAAATTATCATTTTTATAAGAAAATATCCTTGCAATAGTCATAGAGGGACGTTCGTTCATTTGTATTTTATATTATTTTATAATAATGTATCTTATTTTGCATAGATATTGTCTATAAATAGGTGTATTCGTTTCTTGTACTTTTTATTAAATGTAACCAAAAAAAGTATGGTCGTTTAATCGAATATTTTAACATGCCAATTAATATACGGTGTCGACCCCAAGGTTCCTGATAGTTTAACCTTTGGGCTTTGCATAGGAAAATGATTTGTTGAGAAAACCACCAGAACTCAATTACGATGTGCTATTTTTTAACTTTTGTGTTGACTGACCAACCTGCAAGGTTCCTGTTATTTAATATAAGTAAAAGAAAAATTTGATGAAAAAATGTTTAGCCTCCAGTTTTACTGAGCAACAGACATTTTGTTTAAAATCATAAACAGGACTTTACGTCGTTAATCATTACTTCCTTACACAGTGGCGGACAGGCCTCGACAAATTTAACCAAACCTAACATATTAAAGCCCACTAATATATTAAATACTTGTCCAGTCCGCACCTGCGGTACAAAAACTTACAATCCTTAACAACAAAAATTTTTTTCGCTCAAATTATACTTACTTACAACAATCGTATTATTCACGTTAGGTAACTTATTATTAGTTGAAAATGCACAAATTGTGGTAAAAACACAAATTAGGGGTTATTCCTAATCCAGGACAATTTGCATAAATATTATATTTATAAAGTACATTTTTTGTAGATATATGTTACTGTTATTAATTTATCAAAGATTGCTAATGAAACAAAAAGACGATGTCTTAATTTTTACTCTATTACTTATATTTGTATTTAATTGTTTTCTTAATATTTTTCCAGACGCACTAAAATGAACTGAAGTTCACTCAGACTATGTTGGCATTAAAAAAAGTTTAAGCAGGTCATCTAGGGACAACGCTGCGCTTCCTGGGGGGAAGTTCCTTTCTATGTAGTATTCGTATAACAATATATAGTATCCAATATCATTAACCAATATTAATCGGAGTAGTAGTGGTAATAAGAAATTAGTAATCTTTAGAAACTGTGTTGGGATTCATTAAACCCCAGTGGTGGTAATAAGTTTATTGAAAACCCCGTGACAAAATATTTCTAAATATTTATAGGCAACACACACTAACATGGGTTAATCGAAGTTAACGAATTACATTGTATTCAAATTATTGCCTTGTGCAATTAACATGGTTGCAATAACATATTACCGATTGTGTGTTTTAAAATATTAGTTTTTTGATAGAAATTCAATTTAATAAATAATAAATTGCCATGTATATATATATTAAAAAGCATTATAATATTATGGTTCTTAATTTAGCAATAAAAAAAAAAATATTTGAAGTTTCACAAATACTGTGTCGAATCTTATACATCAACTAGTGTGCACCTAAAACAACAGAGCTGTAAGGTCACCTAGTCGTGTCCAAACAGTTGTGATTTCCGAATCCAAATTGCGTTCTCCGCATTAGTTACAGTTACAACCCCTTAAGTATGAATTTCCATAGTTATAATTGATAAAAATATACACTACAGGCATATTATGTGTTTTTTTTACTGATCTGTGTTTACTGATTACACATAAAGCGAATACGCGTCGCAAAGAATCAATGTATTTGTATATGCTATTAATATTGTAATATGTACATCGTACAACTGATATTATTAGTTATATTGAAAAAAACGTTTTAAATTTATTTTATTACTACAATTATTATAATATTTTATTAAATTTTGTTGTATAACAAATTATTTTAGGGCTTCTTGCGATTGTCATTAAACTTATTTCTTCTAGTAACTTTTCCAATAACATAAAAGGAAACAATATTTAGAAATGTCAGAGATCATTTGGAGTAATTCAATAAAACTCGAGCTTTTATCAAACTTTTTGGAATGTTACAAAATGCGTTTTACCTATATGATCTTGTGAAAACGAATTCATTAATCTTTACACTTTTCTATACCTAACTTTGCAAATTCCATCATCTAAATTTCTAAGAAGCCATTTGGACCTAGGTTAATTTTATATTTCAATGAAAACTTAGTGAGCTTAATGAGAACTTCTCAGAACTAAAGGATTTTATTTAGTGTGATTTGTTGATATTTTAAATTAATTGATAACTAAAATACTGAGTTCAAGCAATGGTTACTGATATAAATGGGATAGACCGAGCCTTTACTTGAACAAAAATAAGGACGAGTTTTCAAAAAAAAAAAATAACTATTATGTTTTTAGAACTAAATAAACGGTAGAATTTTATTTATTTATCATTGTAACTATTAAATATGATTTTGTCCTATTAAATAAAACTAAGTTTAAAGAGTTTCTGTAGATATAAGAGGTTCTGCTTAAAAGTACTTTCAAATAGACGATTTGCTCGTGTCAACCGATGGGGCCAAAACACCCGACACCCAGGGTTTGGCTATAGTCACGACGACACTAGCAATCGAATATTCCAATACTAGTATGCAATATACTACATCAAGAATTCAAAACTATTAGGCAATATGCTACACTATTAGTTTTTCAAGTACAAGTTTTCTGTTCATACAAAAATTGACAATTTGAACCTTTTTTATTTTGCCCGTATTGGTTTTACAATTTTCAAAAGAGATATAAGATAAAAAAAAATATAAAATAAAATAAACGTTATTTACGTAAGAGGACATTGGAAATATAATTAAAATTTTGTTGAACATTTTTCATAATATTCTTTTAGGTTTTGGCTAATTAACTTATATTAATAGTTACCGAATTGTACTTAATGTTATAGTATAAAAGCATGTTTTGTTTTAAATATACATGTAAAATAAGCATTTTGAATTTGTAAATATTGATGAATCCTCGAAATCATTAAAACACCAATATATCTTATAATTAATTATTTATCATAATAGCCTTACTCAAAAATAAATATAATTTTGAGCTTATTTTGATGACAAAGTTACTTTAAAGTAATGGCTTATTTACTAAAATCCATTGACCTCGCATAGTACCCTTAATCGACTCTGTGATAGTAAATAAGTCGATTAAAAATATGATAGATATGACAAATATTAAAAATATTAAAAATATAGTAAACTAAGTTTTAAGTACTCGTCGCATGGACGTCATTTTGTAGTTCCATCTGTGAACGTTCCATTAAATTTGAATGAGCCGCGTTAATTGCATATTTTTTTTTGCGGGGTATTAATCAATATTGATATTACTGGTGAATTTTTGGAATAAGTATCAACTTTAAAAATAAAAAACGACGACTACCTTTAAGTTTTTCATGATTGGCAATCGGCGTTTTGGTATTATGACAACTTCGAATCACTTTAGCGGCCTCCAGGAAATCCTAAAACATGGATGCAGATTTGTGTATCCGGGATAAAAAAGAACAAACAAATTCACCGTGTTACACAAACACTTTTACGCGTAAAATAACACACACACACACACACACTCACACACAAAACAAACAATATAATATGTGAAAATTGGAAAACGGCGTTGGCCGGTGTATATGTAAAAAAATATTCAAATTACAAAACGTTAACTGAGAATCGATCGTCCGCGACTATTGCCGTCACGTTGTTTACCGCCGACACACTAATATATACCTCTCCTTCTCCGTTAAATACGCCAGTTTTCTTGTCCTTGCTCCTTCCAAGGCGTTGGCGCCCAAACACAACCATAATACACTAGTATTATAATACTCTATGCCATCGCCCAAGAACCGCGGGATACGTGCAGAAACGATGACCTGGCCGATGACAACCAGGACGGCGGTCTAATGCTAAATTGCCGCCTTCGGGACGGACCTGGCCGGATCGAAGACGATGCACCCGAGTTGGGATTCTTTGTCGTGCACATAATATACATAACTACACGAAGAGCAACACTTCTGTGCTTGGTAGTCTTGGTTTAATAGCATCAGTGTCATTAAGTTGAACGTTACCTATATGTACGAATCCGACTATAGATCAATGTAGGTCACGAATTAGACGGTATTTAAAAATGAAAATCGGACGCCGCCACCTCCTTGGGCCAACGTTAAACGCGAGAGATGAATAGAGACACACAGATCGAGTAAACAATTTTTTTTCTAATTCTATTATAATACTGATTTGCAGTACGAGCGCATCCGTCAATATCTCAAACCAATTGTTATCCCGGCAGTGCACGCGGAGAAGAATTAACTACCCATTGTCGGTGTTAAGATCCGAGTCATAATAGTCTATTACATTTGATATTGCCGCCGAGTAAATAATTACTCAAACAATACTAGGCGTACGACTATTTTCGTGCCCGTTGTCGAGTTATGCATAATGATAAAATAACGATTGAAAGTTGTGATAAAAGAAACATTGCCAATAATAACATTTCAAATGATATTATTGTAATCGCGTGTAGTCTGATTTCATATGGATTATTAATTAATGTAATATATTTAATTATTATGTGTCTGAAATTAAAAAATTAAGAAGTTATATTTTTTCATGTCAATATTATTTAGTTTTTTTTATAAATATATCGTTAAACGGAAAAAAATAGTATACAAAAAAAAAATCAATGTAATCAAAAAAGTAATTTTACAAATTATACTTCAGTTAACCGGAGTTTTGGTTTTTTGAAGAAAACGTATTAAAAAATCTTATTTAAATAGATATAGAAAAAGTTCTAATAAAGAAAGAAATGTTTTCATTTCTACTCGATGCGAAGCTGAAACCTGAAAATATATTAATTTGTTTATTTTTTTTATTTCAAAACCCACAGTGACTTTAAACTGTTGGACCGTATTTTTTTTATATATAGTCTACCTACAGCTTAACCTACAGCCATTCGACTTAGAGTAAGATATTCTTCATAAGTTTAGAATTAAAAAAGTTTAGTACTCTATATTTAGCGCAAACCTAGAAGGAATCAAACTCAGAATTAAATGTTCTTAAGTTCTCTAAACTTAACTACAAGCTGACTCATATACTTAGTTCTAGATTTACCGTTTAGCAGTTAGCACATGGTTAGCTTCAGTAATTTTGAGAGTTTAATTTAAGCAGTAAAAATACTACAGTATAAAAAACTATACAAATTTATTTTTATGTTATTATTTCGTCACTAGTCTGGTTTTAGGTAATATTTTAGTCCATCGATAGCTGCCGAATTGTATACTACAATTTAAAATGTTTTAACTTACCTTAAACTTCAAGAAATTAACTCTAAATTCTATGAATTAATATTTTTTTTGAAATTGAGTCATAGTACAACTTTTTTGCCTTTTCCGTTTATACCTTTAATATTATTAATGCTATTAATACTTTAAATTCAATTTGAATTAAATGTTAGTATAACAATAATTTATATATATAACATAGTAATTCTATTATTTTAGACAAGGGTCTGGATGAAGTACTGGTCTAAAATTATATTTTACTCGATGACTATAAAGACATTTCATAAATTAATTTTTTATTAGACTATCAGTTTACCCGTTAAAAATAAGATTCAAACAATTTTTTTTTACTGAGTTATTTTCTAGAACATAAATCAATTTGTTCCGGAACAAATTCTTGAAAATATACTTAGTTGTTATTGTAAGTATGTTTAAATCTCGTGTTAAAAGCATACTAAATAATTGCGCATTTTTATTATAAGAGTAGTTTACTAATAAAGTATTATAATAGTTTATAATAAAATCAGTATGATCATTATTATGATTACACAAATGTATTAATTATTATGAAATTGGCTGTCGGGATAGATTTTTGTGAAAACTCGCGGTGAACTTGAAGGCTACGGCAAAACGGTTGTTCCACACAAACAAACAACTGTAATTGGTGCCGCTTAACTCTGTTTTGGTTTATAGACACAATATGTACTTTTCAGATGGAACATGTCTTAGAGTAGTGACAAATATAGTGAATTAGTTTTTAAGAAAATAATAAATATAAAAGCCCAGTACATTTATCGAGTGACACCAAGATGATAGTCGTATGTACCCTGGAAATTTCTCTTAAATATGCAACGACCTCCTCTTTTCAGGAGACCCGCGTGTGAGTGTTTCAATGACATAACAATTATGTGACAAGGCAAAAACAGAAAAAAAAATAAATCGCTTTCCGGATCACTGCACGTCCCAAGGTCTATCGAATGGTCGAGTCAATCTTACTTCTCCAGAAACAAAAATATATTGCGAAAAACATGGTCCGCTTTCCCGAGGAGACCCTATAATGTCATCTGTCTATAACCTTAGACATGGACGGACTTTCATGGTAACGTGGTGTATATCATCTTATCAGCAATTAAAGAAAATTAATGATAGGTTTCATTTTCAGGTACTTAAAAATACCAACTAAACAAAATCGATGCACCATAACCACTGTTGTTTTGTATCAACATTAGTAAATTATAATAAACAAAGGTATTAAAGCGATACATCATCATTATTGTGTTACGAAAAACATATAGTCTATACATTGTAGAATTTTAAATAAGAGTTAACAGGTTATAGTGATTCACTGTTGTATACTTTGTGTACTTTTTAAATATAGTAAAAATGTTTTTGACTGTACATGGGGAAGAATTATTTTTAAATATTAATTTCATATTTTTTTGTCTGAGATGTAGGAGATCTGGGAATTTTTTTAACTTGTGACCCCCTTTCTCCAAAAAACTAATCTTATGAAATTTCTGATGAATGTAGACTTAATAGTAGAGAAATTAGCTTAATGGTTTAAACAAATTGTGAAGTAAGTAGCGAAATAAATGACATTGTTGTAACTAATATATTTTCGGCTTTCTACCCAAAGTTTAACTAAAATTATCCTTTTTTAAATTTTCGCTAAAGTTTTTAGATAATGACGAAATTTACTGAAGTATAGTAATGAATACAAAAATGTTAAAATCGTAAAATATTCTATTGTATAATTATAGTTGTCGTCTCAACATTCATGTTAAATGTTAATCGAAGTAGAATTTGAACATTAATTGAAAACAAATAGTTGAATGTTGTTATAACCTAATTGTTGATACTTGTGTTCGTGTTTCGTGGATGCACTTATGTTATTTGTTTTAATTTAGTTTAAAAGTAAAATATATTCTAAAGTAATGGAATTGTTTTTATTTTGATTCTTATGGTCACAGTCTTTACGCCTCGATGATTGTACCGTAGATCGCACCTGTGTTTTAAAAGTATATCTAGATCGTATTCAGGATTGCATAATATTAAATAAAGTAATTCAAATAATATAACCATTTAATTTCAGATGATATAACTCTTCGCTAAAAAAAAATGTACAGACCTTACGGTTTGTATTTTTAGATTTTAAAGTAAGCGCTTCCCCTGGCTAATTATCTGAAAAAATGAGAACGAACCAGAGACTGTAATGCAATTTTTAAAATCAAATTACTCGTAAGTATTATTAATGTCTTTTAGCTCAGTCGTTGAGACAGTCTAGGTCGTAGCGATGCTACAAATTCGATAAGAGCAGAACTTATTATCTTAGTGTAATACATATTATATTGACTTGATATATTTAAGAATTCTCATTGTGTTTGTGATGCTTTCAGTCGTCTGTCGTACTCGCTCGCATATATAGTATACACATTCGTGACTTAGGTGGTCGACCCGACAGCCGAGATAAAAAAATAAAACAACGCTTTATTGTAATCATGTTTTGTTCAATAAGACGGAAAGAAGAAAGAGGTACGGAGTCGAAGCACAGACTTATTTCGCGCGTATTCATCAACCAAATTATAATTTATAACTGTCAATAATAAATAGTGTGTTATTGTTCTGTCACAGCTAGTGGACAATTAGCGCGACGAACGCTGTGTGAGTGTATTAACTACCAAAACGCCTGGAATTAGTCACATCTATCAATGCATACTACATTCTTTTAAATTATATACATTGTAGGAAGTAATACACATGTATAATAGTTGTTCGATTCAAAAACGATTACGGCGACATTTTAATATCGGCCAATAAATAGTAAAAAATATAATATTATTACAACTTGCATTGTGTGCGATTTATGAATGAAAACCCTATTATTTTGACACATTCACAAATATAGCATCTACATACATCAAGTCATTTGTCTAGGAAATAGTACGTTCCGCTACTGACTTTTTTTTATTCGAATAACACACTTCTTTTCATAATATTATTTACTTAATATATAAAAAATTGATAGCATTTTTAACAATTATAAAATTGTTTTTGAATTGGAATTTAAAACTTAAAATTTAAAACTCAAAAAAAAAGTTGTACAAGGAATGAAAACTCACTAAGAGTATATTATGTTATATTTTGTACGATTATATAATTGAAAAACACAATAAATTTCAGAATTCCAATACTTCCGAAAGAACATATTTAATGAACAGCTAAGAAAGTTGTTTTTTAAGTTAAAAAAAGGAATTATGATTTTCGTAAGTCTGTACATTTGTTATTGATTTCTTATATTATTAAAAAGTGGATGGATTTTTTAAGTGTTCGAATAATGAATTTTATACTTTTGGAATGCATTCTTTCAATGTATTTTTGAGTTATGTTTCTAACAATCATTTAATTTTAAAATTGAAATAAAATAA